CTTTCAAGTTGTAGCTTAATTGAACCTCTACAGCTATTGTTGTTCAAGTTTTCTTATATGGTATAATATTCTTAAAATATAGAAATTCCCACCTTCATTCAAGCTAACAACTTAATTCTACTAGATATCTAATCACAATGATTTTACCTGCTAGCTTTAAAGAGGAATCTAGTCTAATTAATCCAACTCACAGAATAATTTTATCATTTTTTGTGTATTTTTGAAAAATTCCTGATTGGTACGATAATAAAATCTTACTTACTCTATACTTTTCTCAATAACAATTCTGGTTTTATGTAATATATTTTAAATTTTGTATTATATACTCTAAACTATGCTGATATTCTTTCTTTCTAGTTTGCTGCCAAATTGATCATCTACTGCTGTTGTGGTTCATGATTCTTTATATTATATACAAGTTTTGAAAGTGTCCTATAACTAGGAGGTGTCCCATAACTAGGTCAAATACGTTAACAGTATGTGTGATAAATTAATCAGGTATAGCCATCGCAGCCTGCCAATAAAGAGCTCACTTCCTAAAGATCCTGTAATACTTCAACTACTTCTCACTAAACTGATAATACAACTCAAAATCTCCATTCCTACGTTTCAGAAAACCGAAGTTTATGATGTCTACTAGGGTCGATGTATGGGTTCTCAGCTTTTTCACAAGCAACAAAGTCATAATGATTTGGTTTGAGTAGAGGCAGGAGGGAAGCACATGTATAGTGCCCTCAGAGAACATCTTCCTACTAGACTTAGGGTATTGTTCAAGATCTAAGACTATAGGTACCAGAATAGAGTCTACAGACTCGCAATGGTAAAAATAATAAGTATGGTTACTTCTGCGTGGCTACCTAATGTTTATAGTCTTATCATGGTAGAGTAAAGGACAGTAGTATAATAGTTTATAATAGTAGACTTTGAGAGCATTCTGGATCAGGTGCACCTGGTCTCAGCTAGGGACTGGCGATGGCTAATAAATAGTAGAATCAATTTGAGGATATTCAATGAAATCTATTAAGATCGCATCTGAGGGAATGATTGGAGGCCCTATGGTGTATCCTGCCTTGTAATGCAAGATATGCTACAGGGCCAGCAGTGGGCATTGGAATCCCTGCCATTGCATAGTAACTCAAACTGTAGGTAGAAATAATTGCGTAATAGTAGAGTAAAAATTACTGATACAAGATTCAAGTTGAACAAGATTGTGTACAGAACCAGAGAACATGTACTAGTAAAGAAAGAACAGGTTGTAACGATGTGTAACATGGGCCCCAGCCAGAGCTGGCACCAGCTTAGAGATAGGAGAATATGTGAATATCATGATGGGAGTCTAGGCATCAAAACTTTTATTTCAGCATCAGAAAAATGATACTGTAGACTCAGATGTGATGACTGGGGGTAAACAGGAAAGAAATGAGAGCCGAGAGGTTGCTATCAGAGATGAGGAATAACAGGCCCTGGAATCAAATTGGTAGTTAACAAATGGCAGTAACAGCAACTGGAAATTAGCAATCAGGAAAGAAGTAGGAACTGACTATCAGGATGCAGAGAAGGCTTGATCTCACAGTTGAGCTCAGGTTGTAGCATCAGGATGACAACAAGATTGGATCATAAACAGGACACCGTCTGGATATATAGACAGATGGCTCCTACTTGAAGATGGAGGGAATCAACAGGGTAAAAGGGGGGATGCAAATGATGCAGGGGGGTGTGGCATCAGAGTAGTGGACCCACAGGATACAGGAGATACAGGGAACACAGGGGACAAGCGTGCTGCATCGGGATGTGAGATGCACAGATCTGACACAGAATGAATTTTTGTCGATAAATACAGTACAAATAACCTGACTAGATAATCATAGCAGACTCTGTCAAATATCATATCATATTATATATCATACCCCTAGCAGCATAACTCATAATACCTCCTCGGCACCGCCACCATCAAAAACCCCACTAGCCATCCCCCATATTTACTCGTACACATCATACCGTCCTCACAACCTCAGCTAGACGGAATAACGCCCCTCCCTTCCCCGGGCACTCCGGTACCGGCATCCTGGGGCACGGCCGAAGGCTCTACGGCAGGATCCCACAAGCCCCATGACATGATACATCCCCAAACCCAAGAAATCCTCTTAACCAATGAACCCCCCCCCCCCCCAACCTACTCATCCACGGCAAGGCAATTAAGCACATAACCATACGCAATCCACCCCTCCCGCGAATCGTCACCGGGCCCAAACGCCCCGAGGCATACCTGTAACTCGAACCGAACCGAACCGAACCGAAAAAGAAAAAGAGAAAGGGAAAAAAAAAACCCGCACTCAGGTAGAGTACGACCTATCACTCTAGAAATCCTACCCAATCATGTGCAGCGGGGGAGGCTGAGGACGAGGACATGATGGAAGCACATGCATTTCACCGCACCGACCGATCACACCGAACGAGCCTTAGATTATCGAATGAATCCAAAAAATTGCCGTAAGGCTGCCGCAACCGAACCTGACGGATCCTTCAAAACGGAACCACATCCACATCCACATTCACAGCCCTCACGCACACACGCTTACGTAGTTTGCCGAACGGGCACTACGGCTAGTGGTACAGGTACCGGTACTGGCTGGCGCCTGTACGGAGTATTCAAACGTAACTTACGGAGACAGAAAAGAAAGGAAAAGCCTTTGAACACAAGGTGCCGAGGTGGTCAGACAGCCAGGCTGATGGATATGCACAGTACAAGATCGCATGGCTTGTTTCTAGTGTAGCTGGTCATTCCGCGGTTAAACCCCATCGGTTCTGTTAGAGTGCACTCGTGAAAACACTGCCCCTGTGACAACAAGACACAGTAACGGAACGGGTGAGTCAGTCAGTATTTTATGTCACTGTGGGGTGTCATGCATGGAGATGGAAAGCTAACCAGCACGGTACGGTATGCCTAGACTACAGGCAATAATACCGGTAATTTACTCACGCAACCCCGGAGCCCTGTGACTGGAATAGCATGCATAGGTCCCTTTTTTTTTGTTTCTTACCTCAACGCTGCCGGGGCTGAAGGCTTGTTTTAACGGGTTCTGCGACTGGACTGTTCCCTGGCGTACCGTTACAATACGATACCCGAGTACCGGTATCATACTAGTGCGGTACAAATGTGATACATGACTTAGTCACATTCCCAAAAATGCTATTATAACAGTAACTTTACAGTACTCGAGTACAGTACTGGTAGGTACTGGTCTGCAATGAGTACGGATCACAGATCTCACTCACAGTTCTAAAATTCGATATATATTGACAACAGAGTACGGTAGTTGGGTTGAGCTAAGCGAGAGTTAGATTTATGAAGCGAGTGGGGCGATGGCGAGGATGGTAATTCATCTCTCCCATCGCATTAACTTATTCATTAATGGCCGTTAAACGTGCGGCGGAATGCCAAGCGGCATTTCTCACCCCGCTAACCTGCCAAGAAAGATGTATGATGTCATAATATTATGATACCAATCAGGATGAGTCCGCCAGACCTACTCGTAGACTACCCGCAATCCCCAGCACATGTGTCTACCAAAAAGGTATGATTCCCGTTCCGTGCCCGAGTGGCAGACAGTTAGTTTAGCGCAACCCCTAAATAGTCCCCGTCTTGCACAACACGAAAACGTCTCTCCGGGCATGATACTTGCAAAACCCAATGTGCTATGAATGCGATGGACGTTGGAATTCCCATTCCCGGCAACCCAAGGGGAAAACACCTCTCACCCAGCCCTCGGTCGAGACGAGACAAAAGGAATATGCACAGCGCTTTACTGGGAGAGGTAACTCCAATCTCGTACGGTAGTACATCCATCTCTTTTGAACGCGATAACTATTCCACTTTTAAAATATTCAGCAATAAATTTTCGAGCCGCTGAAAATAACCTGCAAGAGAATACAAAATAAGATAAAAGATGGCTGAACCGGTGAGACTCTGTGCCGGAATCTGCCTCCTTGAGAGAAAAACAGTTAAAATTAAAATACAAGTATCACCCAATTTCCAAAGAAACGCCAGAGAAACAGTACGATATAAATAAAACGCCGGGATGATGATAGCTCGAGTGACGACAGATCTTGCGTGGCTTTATTCGGAAACAATGGAAAACTTCTCGCGCCTATAGCAGTTGAGGTGTGATCTCTACATCTTGCCCGCCTCCAAAGGGTGTTCGATGAGGGCGGTGATCATCGTTGGCCAAATGGTTGGGCAATGGTGTACAGGTTGAAAAATATATTGGCGCATAAAGCAATAGTCCTAGGCAAGTAAAGGGGGTTTTTTTTAGCAGCCATTCAACAAGAAAATGGGGGGGAGAGGAAAGGGGCCCGGGAAGCAGTAGCATTAGTCCATCGAAAATAGACTTTATTCCTGGTCCCGCCGAAAACTTCTGGTGGGTCGATAGATCCCCACGGGAACCTAACAGCAAAGGAAAGACAAGGGGAGCACAAACATAAGAACTTTGAACATATCAAACACTTCCCACCAGCCTTTCAGCTTGACTTCTGTTTCAATGGGGCCTCCCCATACTCCAGCGGCAGTGCTTCCCCCACTCGTCGTGATCCTGCATTCTTGCCCCCCAACCTTTACCCTATGTTTTGCTCCAGATATATTCTCATTCACGGATCTGATTGCATGGGCGTTGCCGTTACCTTGCTTCTCATCCTCGTCCTCGGGGAATTGCCCATTCTCCATATAGTATTCCAGGAGATCATCTTTCTCTCGCCATCGCTCAGCCAACCACGCCTCGAATCCAGCTACATCTGAAACAGGGATCGAGGAAACGGCGAATCGCCTCCAATGCATATTGACCGATTTGGGGGGTCTGCCTTCGAAATAGGTTGAGTTTAAGGTGAAGTAGTCTTGTCCAAACTCTCCTCGACTATTTGTCATATTGTAAGTTCCCGGTGGACAAATGCAAAGGTTAGAAAACTCACGGTACGCCCTCATAAGCTACAGTGCAGTCATACACCCATTCCACGCTACTCCCCAAGTTCTCCAGGCAAAACCTCAGGCCAGTTGATCTAGGAAGCATCAAATGTTTCAAATCCTTCACACCTATCTTCTCGGCATATTTGGAACTTGTCTTTCTGCCGTTGTCGCTCAAATTCGTCCCCTCCGGGAAAATAAGGAGCCACATGGGCTCCTCTCCCCCACCAGCAGCCAGCTTTGAAAGGCGATGAACAAATCTAGGTTTGTCTTGCTCCCATTTCCGGGCGAGAAAAATAAATCCAAAGAACCGCATGCCGAGTCCAATGACGGGAACATATTTCAAGGATTCCTTTAAGATTATATAAAGAAACCCGTGCATACGAGCAGTGTAGGCGATCCACCAAAGGTACAACCAGTCGGAATAGAGCTGCAGCAACCAAAGACGTCGGTGAATACTGTGGACAGAACCAGGGGGAAAAAAATTGATGAAACAAAAGAATTACCTGATGATTGGCGATCAACACCATGCGGTCCGGAAATTCGCACTCGAGCCGACCACCAGGAGTCCTTTTCAGCTGATGTCGAACACTCTTGTCGCCGGTAACACGAATAACGGTTGGCGACCACCACTGTGTTATCGTTGTGACAAGAACACCAAAGTGCTCCTTTGTTTTAGCAATGTAGGCATAATAAAGTGGTCTATTGAAGGGATAGAGTAGCAATCCGAGAATCTGTTGTGTCCGTTAGAAGCAAATGAGAAGAAAAGGGCAATGAAAGGCTCAATATACCTGAGTCAAATGAACTCTAAAAACGATATTAGCTTTAAACAATCCGATAGCAAATAAGTCAACATGGCAGGGAGCGGGAGAGTGTTTGCATACACAATAATACATCCGCCAAAGTAGATGGTAAAGGAGCATATCCGTAACCACTGTCTTAACCCACCATAGCGAGCCTGCCCAGCCGGATGTTGCTCGATAGGCATCGGATGGTGTTTCAGCTATTGTAAGATTTCCGACTTTTGTTTGGAGGTCTCGTGTTATGACAGCTTGGGGTGGAGGGGCTATCAGGACAGTTGTCCTTTAAATAAAGCCGGCCAGGCGATGACAACGGCAAGGGCGAGGGCAAGGGCACAGGACGCGGATAGTAACGAAGCCTGTAGGGCGAAGGGGATGTGGGCTATTCCGACAGAGCAGGCAGGAGGTCGGGGCAGGAGAAGGATGGTGGAAAGAGATCGCTTTAAGGAATCAAGCAATGAGCGGGAAGAGACAGGGCAAAAAGGGAAAGGCAGAAAGAGAGACAGTCAGGGACGATATGAGGCGTTCGAGAACAGATGCCGCTAGAGGTTACAGTACTGTACTCGAGTACAATATGATATGGAAAAGTTACAACGCTTCTTTGACCCTTCCATTTCCACGTGCAACGTCAGAGGGCAGGCGCGTCACCCGTGAGGGACAGGCGGAGGCCTGGCAGCTGCAGCATCCTCACGGTCAGGCTCACAGTGACCCCAGAACTCTTGCTTCTTTTCACCTGGCCAAGATTCTCGCGATGGAACCTTTTCCCAGCACCCGCCGCCTAACACCATGATCCTGTGATATTCTAACCGACAGAAGTTACCCAGGCACGGCAGCGAAGGGGCAAGTCCAAAGATTCACGACACCCTACCGTACAGTATCGGGACCCTTTATAAGCCAAAGGGGTACTTTCACTTTGTCCACCGGTACTGTACAAGTACCGTACCTGTGCTATCCATATGCAATAGCAGTCCGTCCTCCAGACTAAACGTCACGGCACCGCCGTGCGAGTGTCAGTGATTACCATGTGATTCATCGATCCTTGTTGAAAGGCTTCTCTCGACCCGACTGGAGAGTGCCGTTTGCTCAATTGTCATGGTTTTGCCCCAAATTCGCCCATGACCAGCTGACTCAGACCTTATCGACCGCCTAATCCAACCCCCGACCAGACAAACCACCACCTTTAGATAACGCGTGGAGGCCCTCGAGATCTCAGAAACACCGACTCGCTGCTCAGCCTACGGTAGCGGTATATCAGCCAAGGCTGGCCACAACCATACTCCCTCGGCATCAAAGAAATCGTTTCAACCCCCCCTCTCCCTCGGCTATAACCAGGAGTCAAACATTCCTCCGATTCTCAATACGGCACTTAGCCACCTTCAATCTCCAAGATGGTGAGCATCGCCTGCCTGTACTCGTACGTGCAATTGCGATTACAGCCAGCAAGCTAACACCCCCTGCAGAACAACAAAGCCAGTAAAGAGCCTTCGATCAAAGCCTCGGCAGATGGTCAGTCACAATCAGCGCCCGCGTGAAAACACCTTCCCTAACACACGTAGAAAGGCGCGACAAAGTTTGTCGATTCATACTACGAAGCCATCAACACAAAGCGAGCATCCCTCGAAAATTTCTACGATCCCAGCGCTTCCATCGTATGGAACGGAAACCCCATGACCGGTGGGGTAGCATTTGCGGCCTTCTTCGAACACATGCCAGCAACCCACTACGATGTTCAATCTTATGATTCCCAACCGATGTTGGTGCCCGGCACTTCAGGCGGGCCCTGCAACTATATGGTTATCGTCTCTGGGAGTGTCAAGTATGGGGATAGCAAGGAGCAGAGGGGCTTCAGCGAGACTTTTGTTTTGAAGCCAAGTCCTACAGATCCGAACCGATATGTGGTGGCTACCCAGGGGTTTAGATTGGTGGTTTGAAATGGTGGGTGCGGCGCGATGGAAGATGCCAGGCTGGAAAGTGTCAAAGCGCAGCAACACAAGGCTGTAAAATATGATGATTATTCTTCCTTTACCGGTTTCGCGCCTGGCGGAGGTTGAGTCTGAAATTGATTTGATTTCGTGAAACGAGCTTCTATGCTTTTTTTTTCGGCAATGGATTGGCTTATAATCAGGATATTTATCACACCCGGCAGGGCTGTTAGGATGGGCCCGCAGGCCCAGAAAAACACGGGTGCACACGAGTACACGTTTCCAGCAGGGAGTACCCGAACGAAGGTGGAAGGAATACTAGGAGAAGGAAAGGAGAAGAGTGCTTTGGATTGGAGAGAAAAGAGAATAGACTTCTGGTATGAATAAGGGCCGGGCAGGCGGGGTGAGGGGTTCGAGGTACCTGGAAGGGGGGTGGTTGGAAACGGATAGGATGATGTTTTGTAAGAACTCAGAAGCTTATTGAATCCTGAGAGGAAACTGGATGGATAGGAAAGGCTTATGAGATTGGAGAGACTGGGAAAGGAAAGACAGAAGGGGCATATAATTGATGCTGTGAGTAGAAAATGGATGAGTTGCTAGGGAAGGTGAAGGCGAGTGAGAGGGAGGAGCTTGAGGTGGTTGCAGAAAAAAAAGGAAGGAGTAAGAGAATAAACCAGTAAAAGAGATAGTACCTATTGCATGTGCTATACTTTCAAAGGGAGCCTAGAGCAGAAAGTAGGGATATATTGTTGAATCGCTTCTGTAAGGCTGAGGTGAGGGCAGACCTGCATCTACTGGACCCAAGTGAGAGAAGTGATTTAAAGAGAGAAGAAGAAAAACTGCACAAACACAGGATCCCAAAAAACCATATGGCAGATATTTTCTATGCCCATCTGAGCCCTATACAAAATTCATGTACGAAGATTCAGGCATGACACTTCCCGGTAGGTCGGTGTACGAGCGAGTACCCTGTGGAACGTGAATTCCTGCGATATCGGGAGGTCGGGGTTATTCGGGTATCATACACGCGCCTTTTCCATGGAGAACCTGTCAAACACTGACCACCCCGCAATTTCACCGCACAAGAAATCACTCGGTTGCAGGCTCTTGGTGCTTCCCGCTCGGAATGACAATAAATCGCTGTGCTGTACCGCCAAGAACAAGACTTTAAGGTTCCTACAATGGTATGATATCTCTTAATTTGATCAGTATTGTTTGATTTCCCCCAATGTATTGTAAGCCTAGTATGCAGTTTACAAATCCTTTTATATGGGTTAAGGTATTATATTAACATCTTCCATTTCTCTTAGCTAATATTAGCAATTACTATTTCATCCCATTCTTGTACTTAATTTTTCAAAACTTGATCAAGTATTTTGTGTTGACAAAATTAACTGACTTTGGAACACCCTGGTGAGTATGACAACCATGGCTCTCAGACAATTCTACATAACTAATTTCCTCTACAAAAATTATTACCACTCAACTATTACTTTATAATTTGTTTTCTATTTTTATTCCAAAAAATAATAATACCTATTCTACACAGCCATGGCTATAAATCTATTTCTTTTAAGTATCTTAGTCAATAGGCAAGAGTGAGGATTTATGGATTGTATAAGAAAGCCATACATTTAAGAAAAATTTTCAAATCTCTTAATTTTCCTCATTACTGTTCATGATACAGTAGTAAGAAAAAACTAAGAGGAAAAAGAGAAAGAAGGTATAGGAAGACATCTTAAGAATTTCAGGACTTAAGATGATACTATAGTATAGGTAGTTCTTGAAAACTATAATATTACTTATAAAGAGATTACTGAGAAGATAGTATTAGAAGTTTTTGAGAGAACTATTAGATACAAACTATCAGAAAAAAATCTTAAAAAGTAGTAAGCTTAAAAGAAAGTATATCTTAATAAGAAGCTTTTTGAATGAGTAATAAACAAATAGAAGTCTATGGCAATGAGCTAATCAAAAAACTAACCAAGTATCATAATAGGCTATGAAATAAAACAATGCTAAGCTCACTCAAGTAAAGAGATTATACAACTTATACTAGCTGGGAAAAATATTTCTCTTTCTCTCTTATCTTTTAAATATCACATACAACTTGCTAATTAACTAATAGTAGGAAAAGGAGTATATATTAACTACGGGTAATAAACTATAAACTATGAAGTCTCTTTCTTCCTCCTTAGGTATGTTTTCCCTTTTCTGTATATGAGCAAACACAAACTGACCAAGGAAAGACAAACTCATGTTCTCCTCCTCCTATGTAAGTTTTCTATATATGCGCAAACAAGAAAAGCTAATAAAGAGAAGACATACTTGTACTCCTCTACCATATACTCTTCTGCTATACTCTTCTATACTCTTTTGCTATACTTTCTACCATGCTTTTCCACTGCACTTTTTCTCTACACTTTTTCATTATACTTTTCTGCTATGTACTTACCTGTACTCTACTATGAACTCTTCTGCACTCTACTGTACATTCTCCTACACTCTACTATATGCTCTTCTATACTCTACCATACACTCTCCTGCACTCCATCATATGTTCTCCTGCACTCTACCATGTACTCTTCCATACTCCACTATGTACTCTTCTACACTCTACCATGTGCTCTCCTATACTTGGTCATATGCTCTTCTATACTCTGCTATATGCTCTTCTATGCTCTACTATATACTTTTCTATGCTATCCTATATACTCTCTTGTACTCTACTAGGTACTCTTTTATACTTCTTTTCTATATACTTGCCTGTGATGTTACAGCTGCGCATTAGCAAAAAAAAAAGGTGCCTGCATCTAGAATGTGAGTTTGTAGTAGAAGGTATCCAGAATGCATCTGGAGTATATCTGATACATCCTGTGACCAAAATAGGAAATATTTGCATCATGATTAAGATGGGGAAAATATATTGTTTGTACCAAACGGCTTGGTAAACAGACTATTATTTTGTACACTTTCAGGGATTTAAAGTTGTATGATTGATTTTAATACAATTTCATAAATTTTATTTCAAAATTCAAAACTCAATATCAGATTTCAACTAATTAGGCTAAAACTTGAATATATAAGATAAAATCCTTGTATCTTTTTATTAAAATAACACATTTTAGCTAATTTTAACACTCTGTATTTGCTTCTTCCAGATGACCTTATAATACATTCCCAAGGTACTAGAGGCATGGGAAGATCACAATGCAAACTGGACTTGAGGATGCAGAATTTTTTTTTTCACTGATGCACTCTTCTAAACATCAGACAATAAATACATGAATAAGTAAATAAAAAATAATGAAGGAGGAAAGGTGAAATTGAAGAATAGAAGCTAGCAGGAGTAGGAAAAGGTATAAGCATTCCAAGCAGCATCTCACCATTTTCAACAGACCTGACTCTGAAGAAATTAGAATAGATACTAACTTATAGGTATCAGACGAAGAAGATGTGGAGGAGGAAGGTAATATGAAGTAATAAGATTATAGTTAAAAGAAAGGGTAGAAAGAAAAGAAAATAGATGTTCAGATATTCAAAGAAGAAGTAGAATAAAAACTGGATTGAATCTATCACTAGAACAGGAGAGAAAAGATTGGTCAGATGATAACTGGATTTGTTTATAGGTAAAAGTATGATCTATTTCTTCTTGTTTTTTTCTGATTCTTCTTTTGCTAGTAGTAGGATTACTGGAAAGTCAATTATTAATATTTATAATCAATATAACTTTATTAGTTTATAGGAGGAGATTAAGAAATAGTCAGAAGAAGAAGAGTTTTTTTTAATTATTGATAATACTAGGACTCACTTACCTTTCAGGAGATGGCTTAAGAGGTATGGAATTATACTATTAGAAATTCTACCTTATTCACGAGATCTCAATCTAGTTGAATACTATATTTGATCTCTGATCAAAGATAAGCCTTTTAAATATTATCCTAAGCTTTATCTCATGAAGGGTCCTGAGAATATGGTCAAAAATGCTATTGAGGAGGCAATTACTTATTATTAAAAGCTTCTCGATTTAAAAGCATTAATTTTGATACTCTTACTGAATCTATAATAGATAGGATAAAAACAATTATTAAGTCTGATAGATAATATACTAAGTACTGATTACTAATATATATTTATTTAATTTTGAACTATTTTTTTTATCTGATGTTGGGGTAATTGAATTTGTTAATAGGGTTGTTACTATGATAAAATTATTGGTGTTCATTGCTATTTACTTAATTTTGTCAATACATAATATCATAGTATAAACTTTCTATTATTAGATTTAGGAGTAGTATTAACTTACTACTGGGATAAAATAGAGAGTTTATAAAGTAAGATCTAGGTAGTACTAATATATGTTAGCAATAAGACTTAGCCACCTAGTTCTTTAGTCCTATCAGATCAAGGTAATAAAAACTCAAAAATTCAATGTAGAATTGAGGGTTAAAAATATCTACTTCCAGTATATCTTTATATCTCTATTCAGCTATAATTATATAGCCATTATTCTCAACAACAATCCTGATAGGAGTACTTCCAAGAATATCAAGAATTGGCTGGTGTATTCGCCTCTTAAATGGATGGAGTTTAAGAAACTCAACAATTATTGGGGTCTGATAGGCTATTGATGGAAGTGGCAACTCCTAGCAACGTTGTTAATAACCCTCACCTAGGTCTGTTCGTGCAAACTCTATAATGCCGTTTAGGTTCATATACCGGGTCGGTGGCATCCAGCCTAGGCGAATAAAATATTTCAAGACCAGGATCGGGCTCGCGTATCATATCATACTACCTGTACAAGTACGAGTACAATTAAAAGTCCCATCTAATCTAATCTTGCTTACTAAATATAATCACGGACGCGACCAGAGCCTAAGAAACACCTGGCCTGAAGCAACGCGGCAATCTCTTAGACGAACATCCCTCTGAATAGCCTCTGGCAGATATAATTTACCATCTCCCCATAACAACACCCGCCGTTCATTATACCCAAACCCGCTTTCACAGTCGTTCCCTTTGGCCACCCCCACTCCTACTCCCCACAAAACTTCTCACTAAGATGGATTTCCTCGGGGTACGCAGATATATCCCTTCTGAAAAGAGTTAGTTAAAGCTACAGTGGGACTAACGTATTGGTAATCTTTTCAGCCTCTTGCCCAGTCTCTAGATCGCTCAGGATTCAACTGGAAGGGATTGATTATTGGATTCGGGCTTGCGCATTATGCCTTTGAAACCTATCTTTCGATAAGACAGTACAGGAAGCTACAAGAGACAAAGCCACCCAAATTGTTAGAGACAGCTGTTACCCAGGAGGTCTACGATAAATCTCAAGTGAGTTGGATATCTGTCTGCACGGGCCACGGCGTTCGTATGATGGGGGCTAACCCCAGCCTGCTATAGGCGTACGGGAGAGCAAAATCTAAGTACGGATTCGTCGAGTCTTTCTTTGGACAAGTTACCAATGTTTCGACCATCTACTTTGATCTTTTACCAAAAGGATGGGCTTTGATGGGCCGTATCATTACACAGCATGCACCTGCTGGGTTTTCCGGAGAAATCTCGCAGTCAATATTGTTCTTTGTCATCTTCAACTTTCTCTCGACCATGATCAATTTGCCCTTTAGCTATTACAAAACATTTGTTTTGGAAGAGAAGTTTGGGTTCAACCAGCAAACTAAGAAACTCGTAGGTGCCGCCCAGCCTATTCACGGGGCCTGGGCTGACTTTATTCCTTTAGTTCTTTACCGATATTATCAAGACCCAGATTCTCTTCATTGTCCTTGGAAGTCCGATCCTCGCTGGGTTCCTTGCGATTGTCAAGACCTTCGATAACAACTTCTTTTACTATGTCTGGATCTTCGTCTTGGGAGTTCAGGCTTTTATGATCACCGTATACCCTATCTGGATTTTGCCCTTGTTCAATACTTTGGCACCGATGGAACCCGGAAAGCTCAAGACGGAGGTTGAGGCTCTCGCGGCAAGATTGAAGTTCCCACTAAAGCAGTTGTACGTGATTGATGGGTCTAAGAGGTCAGCGCATAGTAATGCGTACTTTTTCGGACTTCCGTGGAGCAAGCACATCGTTATCTACGATACCCTGATTGAGAAGAGCGAAGTTAGTGAAGTGGTTGCAGTCTTGGGGCATGAATTGGGTCATTGGAAAGAAGGGCATACCACCAAGATGTTTGGTATCAGCCAGGTAGGGGAACCCCCGCCAGCCCTGCTCTAAACATCCACTAATTTTTTTTCTCTTTTTCTTTTCACCGCTAGTTTCATCTCTTCTACGTGTTCGCGCTATTCTCGGCGTTCATCAACAACACCTCTCTCTATGAGGCTTTCGGCTTCTACAAGACCCAGCCAATTCTCATTGGGTTCCTCTTGTTCAATGATATTCTTCAACCTCTTGACACTCTCGCCAAACTTTTCCTGAACGTCCTCTCAAGAAGGTTCGAGTTTGAGGCTGATGCTTTCGCTGTGAGTCTGGGCTATGCTGAGGAACTCTCCAAGAGCTTGATCAAGCTCCAGGTTCAGAACCTCGCGACCATGGATGCTGACTGGCTTTACTCCTGCTACCACTACACTCACCCGATTCTCTCGGAGAGATTGAGGGCCCTCGAACTGAAGAGTAAGAAGGCTCACTAAGCTGTCGCATGATGTGGGCAGCACTGGCAAGACACAAAATAAAGGTGTTGGGTTTGGCGGATGAGGAAACGGGCGTTGGGAATTTTGGGTCCTGTCTTTCGTACCGGCTTGAGGGGCTCTAGGGTTGAATGGTTATGCAAGTTGCTATGAGGCGACTATATGAGAAAAAATACCTTACAATGCTAATGGATAAAAAATATGAAATCCGAGTGACCGAAATATGATGCTCGTTCCCGTGCACCAAATAAGTATCTCCCACTGCGTTGTAAAAACCCCACCGACTATTGCGACTCATCCCCCTTCCCCCCCTTCTCCTTCTTAACCCTTTTCCTAGCCTTCCTCTCCTCTCTCCTGGCCTTCCTCTCTGCCCTCCTCTTCTCTCTATCCACCCCTCCCATCTCCGCCGGCTCTACCGTCACAATCTTGGGCGCAGCCTCAACCTCCACCCTCTCCGTCTCCCCATCTATCTCCGCCTCCCGATGCTCCCCTCCTCTAATATCCCCCGTGACAACCCCGCCCGTCCCCGCCTCCCCTTTGGTCGGCGCACCCCCCCGTTCCGCATCCGCTGCTGCCATCTCCGCCGCTGACGGTGGCGGTGGCGGAACGTATACACCCGCAAGCGCCCGCTGCACGCGCAGCAAATTCGTCAATACAATCTCATTCTGGTTCGGTTTCTGACTGGCGTCGGCGAGGAAGGCGGATAGGAAGGATTCGGCGGACGAAGGGGTTAACGGGGTGCTTTCGTGGAGGGTTGTTGGCGGGTTGGGGGTTGTGGTGGTCATCTGTCTGGTGGGTTTGGTCGGTCAATCGGTCGGTTGGTTATGGTGGGAGATTCGAGGGGGGGCGGGAGGTCTGATACGGTCTTTTAATTTTAGATTTGCGGAGTTGGGAAAGGAGGTGGTGGTATTCTGGGAGGGATTGATTGGTTGGTTGACTAGTTGGTGTTTTTATTCAGGTTTTTTTTTTCTCGTACTTGACAGGAATGACAGGCTTGGCGGTTGGTGAGGCTCTCATCTTGAGGCTCAGGTAAGCTTCTTTCAGGGGGCGGGAGGACATGTGGGGTGCAGGTGGCTCTCAACCAACCCCCCCCCTTTCTGAGTCTGCATACGGTACGGGTACAGTAATACTCGTACAGTGGTGTTGGGAGGGGTGAAGGTCGGCCGGCTTGATTTTCGTCTCGAGGAATCCGGCAGAAATTTAACTGTCTCACTTTGATTAAATCCAATTTACCTTACTGGAGGGGGGATTGGGATTATGTGCGTTATGTCGGGGGTTAAAGGAAGACTCAGGGTCTAGGGTGATTTAGGCCAGGGCGGGCCCTGTGATAGTGGTTAAGAACTTGATACGAAGAAATGGAGTGTGCTGTACGAGCCAGTCAATTGCCGAAACACATTATATACGCTGCAGTATTGATTTAGTGAGTGAGAGAACGGACCAGATTATCCCCCCTGCGCAGAGCAAAAAGAGTATCCGGATGAGCTAATTTGTCACATTGTCCAATATAAACTCTAAAGAAGGCTCTTGTGTAAAATTCACAACAGAATGATGCAATTACTATTTTCGTTTCCCCTCAACTTGCTAGTAGGCCCCACCTTTAAAAACTCCAGAAACGCCCGACCCTTCAGAACAAAAATCACTACAAGTAGATGCATCGGTACCCTATCTACCGATGCAGTTGCATGCTGATTAAATCCTAGGACATCATGGCCAAGGATATATGTAAAAAACCGTCCGGATAGATTGCCTCTCGCATCAATTCTAATAACGGGGTATTCATTGCCACGACAACTCCGTGGACTACAGGTCTTGCGAGGACTGCCACTCTTTGGCTGGGGAAAAGTTCGGGAAGAAGTGTGCGTAATGCTGTACCGACTGTTTGGGGCTCTTCTGTGGTGGCAGATATCCGAGTTAGTGGTATCCATAAACCACCGGCTCCTAGGTGCCGGGAACGGAGTAGAAAATAGAAGGGCAGGAGATGGGTTAACAAACCAGATGGTAGATTTGGAGGTACCGGTTGCTGCACCACCCGTGGTGCAGAAGGAACATATAACCTTAGGGGGATATTACGGGCCTGCACCGAGACCAATTTGTCGTTGACGCTCCAGAATTGATCGAAGTCATCTGATTTAATCTCTATCAGAATAATACGTCCTCCAATATTCCACCGGAGGGGACCAACGTGACTGTAATGAATCCCAGAGCTTCGTGGATTCCGCTTTCGATAAACTCATGACCGCCTTGGCACTTCCATTCCGGACGTGGTCTGCCTATTGGCACCGCGACTCAGTAATCCACCCAATTGATGAGTGAGCGAGCGGAGCTGGACCAACCTCCTTAACCGTATTCATCCAGGAATCATGACACGTCGCCGGACCCTCCAATCGCATCAAATGCTTTGCAGGATAGTCCCGGAAGTGAACTATTAATGTCCAGGGGAGCAAGTGCTCGTCGTCCTCTTCAACATTATTAGCAGCCGGATCACGTCCGGTAAACAGGTCATACAGAAGACCAACAGGCCAGTGCCTTAAAACCCGCATCCACCTAGTAAGCCAGGGTGGTAAGGGAGCATTGGGCAAAGGGCTTAACCAACCATTTCATGGGAACACTCTCAAACTCAAACCATGCGGACTCGGGCTTTGCGACCTCGGGGTCTATCACGAACGGTCTGAAGAAGTTGCATATCCGCTCTGCGAAGAAGGGTAGGTATGCGATCCGCGGTATTATTACCTACCGTTATAGATAGGTGAGTAAGCTTGTGCATTGGACGGCGGGGGAAGGGCATACATAGTATGGGTCCGAAGCGTCAAACACTCGGGACTCTCCAGGGTCCAGTAGGATTTTGCAGGGAATGGAGCCAGACCAAATCGCTCTCCTAATGGCTTTCGGATCCGACGACTCCATCCGGGCGGAATATTTCTCGCAAGTAATAATGGGGAATGGTGGGGGCTGTGGTACCGTTCCTTCCCAGGAGTTCGGAAAGAAGAAGCTTGTGTGCAAAAGCGAGGTGCTGGCAAGATTGGGAGAGGAAACCCAAACTCCAATACGGTAGTTAGTTTTGGGTTTAGCCCCAAAAGCCACCTGAGGCGGAAAACTTGCACCTTTGAAATTCCCCCAAGTTTGACACCTGTGAGCCACCCTCAAGAAATCTGGCGATCCCGAGAATTGCGGGAGAGCGAAAACAAAAGCTACAATTTACCAACTCTCACGGGTTGGTGATTGTGGCTACGATCCGGTTTACCCCCACTCCCGTTCCGCAACCTCTCCCCTGACCAACCCCCCCTCCCACCACCTCTTTGACCACGGCCACTCCCAGATTCACATCTTCAACACCGCACTCAGCCAGCATCCCACTATGTCGGTCCCTTTGATGTTACGACGACAGGTCCTGCGGGCCTTTTCCCCACTGACCGTTGCAAACCTTTCCTCCAATCGCAACGCGGGGTACTGAAACTGACATACTAACAGAGGAAACCACAAACCTTCCACAAACCTCGTTCTCTCCATTCAATGCCGGTCATTTCCTTAACGGAAGAAGGGGTCCCGGGACTCTTCTCGGAAAAGGCCTTCAAGACAGCATGGACAGATTACCAGAATCATCTGGTAGAAAAACTCAGTGCTCTCACGGCTGGTAGGAATCGCTTCCTGCGCCGTCAAGCAGATGGGGGAGTCGGTAGGGATGCCGGTATTCTGACAGGAGATATTAGGCACGGGGTTCGATGGGATGGATGCAATGGATATCGCTATCGCAACAGCCCGGCAACCTGATCAGGCTTCAATCTTTAATTACGCATCGCAAGCCTACAACAATCATTTCTTCTTCCAAAGCCTAGTATACATCCCCCATGCTCCATCCTTCCCCGCGGCAGTTCTGGGCTAACAATCTACAAAAGCAATCAACGCAGACAGGTCCCGAAAGGGCAACTCCCCAATTCCAATCCTACGTGACCTCCAGCTTCACCGACGTCGCCGCTCTAAAAGCCGAGCTCTTTGCGACTGCCAACGCTATGTTCGGCAACGGCTACGTTTGGCTTGTCTTGGACCAGGCCGGCGTCCTGCGCATCCTGTGCACGTACAACGCCGGAACACCCTACGGCGCCTCGTACCGCCGCCAGGACACAGATATGAACACCGGCCTCAAACTCGGCAGCGAGTTGTCGCCCTACACCAGCGCAGTCAGACATGCGGCCAAGGGGAAGACGGGCGGGTGGGTTATCCCTGTGCTCAACGTGAATGTGTGGGAACACAGCTGGCTCGAGGACTTTGGCATACTCGGGAAGGATGACTACCTGAGGGCGTGGTGGGACCGTATAGATTGGTTGGTTGTGCAGAGTAGGTTTCCGACTAAGGGTGTGGCTAGGACGCCTCTGATTAAGTAAACAGAGGGGGGGGGGGGGTGTATAAATAGAGAGAAGGTTTGTGTGTGGGAGAGGGGGAGAAAAAAGTTACTTGGTGGGTCGTAAAGATAAAGCACTTGTATACATGTATTGCATAAAACATTTATCTCCATCCATACGTACGTCCGTGAACCGACCCCTCCTCCCCCCCCGGTGGGCATGCGCCATGCCGATTCCCTCCCACTTCCCTAATGCGTCAAACTCTTCCTCCCCTTCAGCCTCCTCCTCTTCAGCACCCCCCGCCCACCAGGCGTCCGCTTCCTCGCCAGAAACCCCAGCCGCCTCTTGCGCACTCTATGACTCGGATTATACGTATCCCGCGGGCCGCAGCGTACCTGCAACCCTACGAGCCCGGGATTCGAACTTATCTTCAACATCAACGGCACCATAACGCCCAACCCCACCCCGGCCGCGGCAGGAGCGGGGGCTGTCATGCCCGTCGGGGCGAAAGAAACGGTGGACGGTCGAAGGGGGGTAGTTTTCGTTATCATGCTTCTGTTTTCGAGCCAGTGAGTCAGTCAGTCAGTTTGGATGAGGACTGGAGATAGGTAGGAGGAGGAGAGGGGGGGATGGCTGGAAAAGTACCGGGTGAGCGGGAGGATGTGAGTGCGTGGGAGGCGCTGGGGTAGACGGCGGAGGAGGAGGGGGAGGGGTGCGCGGAACATTGGAGCCTACTTCGTCCCACTCTGTTTCGTTTTGTTTTGCTTTGCTTTGTAGTCTGTTGGTTTGTTGGTTTGTTGGTTGATCTGTTGGTCGGTTGGTTGGGTTCGTTTGTTTGTTTGTTGGTTGGTGGTGGTTTGTCGTGGGAATATCTGATGCTTCGTGCTTGTGCAGCACTTGATTGAATGAAATAAAAAAGTGCCGCTGATATTATGAAATCTATAACCTGACCTAACCCTGACCTGACTATTGTTCACATATTATCACTCGGACTCTTTTTTTTCCTTTTTTTTTCCTTCCCCATCCCCTCCCGATATTGTAATTGTTGGAGTTCGGCGATGTTCGTTGCTTTCGGTGGAACCGATTTTGCAACAAACACGCCTGTATATGACACGCAAAAACCGATTCTCTGGTACTCAAGTACCAGCAGACTCACCATAACCACCCGTATACTGTACCCTACCATAGTCTGTCCTTCTCACCGTAACCTATTCGTGATGTTTCTTTCTCTGCATACAGTTACCGTGAGAGTGCTTCATCCGCTTGCAAAACTTATTATAATTATCATAAATTTACCCCCGTTCATCACTTGCACTTGTAAGTTACCCGTTCGCTTGTATGTGATATCATACAAAGTATGATACGGTACTCGAGTATGATCCATTTTCCGTCCGTACATTCCGTTGTGGCACTTTTTTTTTCTTCCCTCTTTTCTTTTCTTTTTTTTATGACACCTTTTCTTCGGCTAAACCCTATCTTGACGTCAGCCGCCGATACAGTTGGGCTGTGCAGTATTCGTGCTGTGGGTTCAAAGTGGGATATGGGCGGAGAGAAGTTGACGGCGGAGGTAGGAAAGGGGGAGGAGTATCCCATCGTACTGTATCGGTACTGGTATCGTAATACGCGATCCCGTGGCGAGTTAATTTTTGGGATAGGATTTCCGTCGAGCGCGTGGGCGAGTGGTTGGTTGCTGTTGTCCATAGTATTTATTGAAACTCTGGAGGGCTTGAGGAACGGGAGAAAGTAGAATACTCGTTATAGTAGATTTTTTGTTATATTTTTATTTTATCATCATGTCTCGGGTGTAGGTTGTCATTTGTAGAATTGGAAAAGAAAAAAACAAAGAAAACACCCACCACTTGAGGTACAGCCTTGTCCCTAGGGGCTGCTCTAGCCAACAGCTGACTCCGAAAACCAACAATAATCCCAGTGATTACTGCTTAATTTGGACATAATGGCCTGAGATGTGTCCGGGACACAGCGGTTTTTTTCGTTCTTCGAGGATTTCTGGGGTCGAAATACACCGTACTCTGTTGCTTGTTGCTTCCGCTGCCTCATCGAGGGATGGAGGGAGGAAGTCATGGGTATTCTCGCTTGGCGGCTTCGCATAGCCTTTTTTACTCTAATTCCCTATGGATAGTAAAAGGAAAAGAAGGATGGTGAAATCGAAATACATGAAGTTGGAAAAAAAGGGAATTGAGTATAAAAGAAAAGATGGCATGATATAAACGCTTTGTACCAGTGTGGGGATAGAAAAAGGGTAAAGGATCAATTTTACAAGAACGGTTTGCAGTCAACAATAGATGCTTGGTTAACGCCCGTGCGAGGAGTAACCCACGCCCAAAACAACGCACGGGAGAAGATAATGGTGGGAAAAAAAAATGCAACGGGAATAATGAGATGCCTCGATGTGAGGATGAGATTAGAAAGGAGACCAGCCTCTCCGCAAGGGGCAAGGTGAGCCCTATACCAGGAAGATGCCCCTTAGTTCCGATTAAAAAGTGTTGAAGATATATCGTTTCGGTGGTGTAGATGCCATTACATAAATGAGATGCGAGGACGGCTTTTCGTGATTGTAGCTCGGAATCCCAGAGCTTTGCAGTTGCCACGCCGCGCAGTGAGTCACAGCTGAGATGGTGGTTTGGATTGGGGAGGAGACGGGTTTATACCTCCTGTGTTCGCACCAACTGAAGTATCAACGCTCTCTGGCCCCAATTGACTCGGGGCTGATGATGCATGAGAGCTTGAGGCCTGATGGCCATGGAATGGGGATATGCCCGTTGGCGTTGGCGGCGGGGGGAGACTCTGCTGATAGGTGCGGGGAGAGCGTGTAGGTGGTGCGGGAGGTCGATGCGGTCTCTGGTCAAAATATCCGGACCCAGGAGAGGGCCCGGGTGTAGGTGGGGGCAGAGAAGGAAGCGCACGGTGGGAGCGGCCGCTGTCGTCGAAAGAAGAGACAGAAGATGTTAGTGATTGCACCGAGGAACTTCCGCTGCTCATGGAAACCGGGGTGGAGGGCAGGGTTTCGTCAGACCGCAGGCTGGCCCTCCTCATTGCAGGATTTGGTACAGGTGGCCCTGTCCTGGATATAGGTTGGGCGCCCAATGGGGGCGGTTGGTGCCTCATAAATGAAGACTGCTGTTGGATGTGGGGGCCTTGGATAGTAGGGTGAATTCGAGTAAAGAAAGGAGACTCAGACTCAGTTACTGGTGTAACAAATGCCTCCTGCTGTTGCTGTTGGGTGGATCTTATGACGGCGTCTTTGTATCGCGCGACATCAGAGGGCGATCCGGAGCGGCGTGCGGGTGAAACCGGATATGCCCTCGATGCCGAGGTGGGCACGGATTGGGCGCCTGAAGGGTGATATGTGCCTGAATCATGGCTAGAAGGAGATGTATAAGCGCTTTGGTCAGACGATGTAGCTGCTCCCAAACCAGTAGGACCACTCCCTCTACCAAGCCCAAGCACAGGAGGCGCAGTCGCACTTATCCCACTCGCCGCACTAACTGAATTGCTGGCACCGGCAGACCCTACAGCACCAGCAGTTGAAACACTCTCAAGCTTTGGCCTCTTCCGGTTGGCTTCAGCTTGTTCTGTGGGAGAGTGAGCAGTGGTGGAAAGGTCGGAAGTCTCGTGGATCTTACCGCTCCCTTCCCTACCTTCTTTGCTCGCTTTGGACTTGAAGTCTGAGAGATACTGGATGTATTCTTTGTAGCTGTCTGTCTTCTTGTACTCTAGTAGTTCTGAGTTGTACTTCTCCTTGGCTATCGAGGCTTCATGCTCATATGATTCCTTGTTCTCCGGATCCAGAACTTTCCACTTTTCGCCAACAAGCTTCGCGATATCAGTGAATGATAAATTTTGCCCTTTAAGTTCGTCTCGAACACCTGAAACGAAGGTCAGCACCCCAAAGCAGGGCATCATCATCAGGCTCGAGTAAAGGAATGCTCACGGTTTGCAAACATGACGTACGCGGAGGGAGGCTTTTCCGGCGCATGTTCATCAGGCTTGCATTCGACACAACGTTAGCAAACGGTTTTTCTGATGCTAGAAGTTGGGAGTCCTTTGTTCTGCGCAGTGGTACCTTTGGATGGCGTCTATACTTTCTTTTTCCCGTGGGTGCAATACCTTTTCCAGAATCCTGCTTAAAGGGCTTTGGTGATGACCTATCCTCAGGCTCAATGTCGTCGGAAGGATAGTTGTGGACGGATGTCAATGCTTGCGTTGGTGGAATTCCTCTCGCGCTCGCAATCTCCCGTTGCAAAAGCTAGCGTTGGAAACGAGGTCAGCGACTGCACCACTCTGTATTCTTTGTTGCCATCGCCCCCGGGAAAAGAAGGGAAAAAATGGGTGCGCATGTCGACATCAAAGCCCTGCATAGAAGAAAGGAGCAAGGCAGCGCCGCCAAAATATAGCCACCAAAGGTAGATGAATGGTTATACAAGAATATTAACTCACCCTTCGATGACCTAACTTGAAACCCAGGAAAGTCCTAAAGGGCTGTAGTTAGAAGACCCTGCACAAAAATATCAAAAACGGGAGGAGGGATATCTCACAGGTCCTGTTCTGTAATATCCATTACGGCCTCCCATTTTTCAAACCCCTCTTCGCTAAGCCGCCCTAGGTACTGCGAGAGTCCCAGTCGAGCCAAAACCTCCTCCAGATCTGTCATATACACAACTGTTTATCACCTGGGCGAAATAACCTCCGAGAAAGAGGGATTTCCCCAGATGGTATATCAAAGTTACCAGGCGCCCAGAGACCCTCTTGCTACTGCGTCTCTTTACCACAACAGTAGCAGTGTATGTTAATAAGTTCAGCTCAGGAACGGAAACCGATAAAAGTGTAGTTGGGTCGCCAACGTTCAAGCTGTCGATGTTGCAAGAACGCAGTCGATGTGTACGAACAGGCCCAGACCATAACAAAAGTCTCAGACTAAAAAAAAACTTGTCGAAATTGAAGCGTCGTGCCGCTCTCCCTCTCCAATCCGAGTAATAATAAAAAACGAAGGGGAGGGAGGTGAGTCCAGCCCCAGGGTGGCTAAAGCTGTCTAGACGATGGGGAAGTATGGCTGCAAGATTGATGGCGTTCTAATCTGAAGGAACTTCGTTAAGTACGGTATCTAGAAACCCAGGGTGTGGGATTCGGCTTTGATGGAAGAGGACACAATCGTAGAGATCTACCAGACAGCCCAACTAAGTGACGCCCGCCGCGTCAATCGGCGCACGGCAAACTATCTTCGGGCAGCCAATGCAGCCCCCAGATGACACCAAAATGTCTTTCTGGGGGGTCAATAATAATAACCGACACGAAACTCGGCGTAGCTAAACCGAATACGGTCAAGGAAGAACCCAGATTACAAAAGCAGGAAATTTTCCAGTTGAAAAATAAAATGCCAAAAGGGATAGTCACCACTCCAAGTCCTCGATCCCCTGGTCGTAAGAAGAACACGAAAACGGGGTGCCGCTTTACAGATTCGGAATAATTGTTTGGGAGGAGGATGAGGGGTGGTTGAAACCGGTTGCTAAGGAAGTCACTGGCGGTGAGAGTTGGCGGCGGCGATATCAGAACCAGACTCGTCCTCCACGCACATAGCAAAGCAAATTGTTCAAAGGGTCCCGTGGATCGAATTTTGTGAGGGTGATCACCCGCAATGACGGTAGTGCCAAGGGAGTGTAAAAAGAATCAAGGATTTCCTTTGATGTAGACCGTGTTGCAGAAAATGACAGAAAAATCAGTGTGTTCGGAAGGAGTGATGCCGTTTGGTGTAGGCCAAAGGTTACCAATGTGCCTGAAAAGGGAGATGAAAATGACGATATTCCAGCGATAAACCCTTAGAAAAGGACAAGTGTGACAACCGGGCACGCGGGGGAGGCTTTGAGTGAGAAGGGGGTTAATGGGTCGCCGATGGTGATGGTGGTGGTGGTGGGGGAAGGAAGTGAAGGTGTGGGTTGGATTGCGGGTTACGGATGGCCTGGCTGTCTGCGTGTGTATGCGTATGTGTAAGTGAATACCAGTAGTGGATGTATGTGAATGGTGTACGCTGGATGTGTATCGGCATTTGTAGTTAATGTGTCTCCGATATGTACGCCCACAGTTCGGGTGGACAGTGCACTGTACTGGAATGTACTCCCACCGGTGTGCATGTAAAAACGGATAGAAGAGAGTATGGTAAGCAATGAGAGGTGAGAGCGAGTGAGCGAGGGAGTGAGTGAGCGAGGATAGGAGGGCAAGGGCAGAGTGGCTCCAAGGGGCCGCTGGTGCTGCCCTCAAGGGATTGGGAAGTATTTTCCTTACGTTCTCCTCCTCGCCCCTAGCGCGGTGAGAACATGCCACTCAGGGTCAAAAGATCAACCAACGGAGAGAGTAGCGGGTTCTTCCTGCTTACTGAGTTGCCTCCACCACCGGTGGTGCTTCTGAAGCTGCTTAGAGTTGCTGCAATATGATGCCGATAATGTTCCACCACTCAAAGCCCCTCTTTCCCTCAGCCTGTCCCTTTTAGACACCCGGACACTTCCAGTCAGTTGGGGCAACAAGCAGGGCCTCTCCTTCTCTCTCTCCCTCTCTCTGTTTTTTCCTTTTCTTTTTTTTTCTTTTCTTCAATGTCAAAGGAAAGGAAAGACGTCCTATGGACAGGCTTAACCGGTCTAAGCTGGTGCAACCGGCAGTCTGAAGTGACTAGAGGGCGGGAGTATGTCGAATGACGTTACAGTTGACGGGGATGATGGGCGATGGGGATGCTTCGTCCTGTTGTGCACGGCGCCTTCCTTGGTTGACTTGTCCCTGGCTACCTACCTTTTTTTTTTTTTCCTTTCTTTCCTTCCTCTCTTCCCTTCTCTGATTCTCGCTCCAAACAGGCCCGCCGGAAGAGAAAGAAGGCTCCAACTTTCACTTCATTGCTTGGAAGGAAGAGGGGGGGGGGGACCTACCGAGACACATAAATAAGAGCCAGCTGCCCTCTCCGTCGCTGGAATTGCAATTGGCATAGTTACATGCAAATTACTGTAACATACGTCTCGTACATGTATGGTACTGTGCTTTGCCAGGTGCTTCTTCGTGCTGCCGTTCCGGCTCACGGGTGAGCCAAGGGGGAGGCTTATGGGGGGAGCATATCATGGTTGAAAGGATACTCGTACAAAATTATCCTGGGCGTGGTCATACACGGTGGTCTGCTCCCAAAGGGGGGCGTTGACTGTTGTTGCCCTGTTTTCTGTCCGACAAATGCACTATGACGTCGGCGGAGCTGCGGAGGGCTTAGTTTTTATTTGAAGAGGCCTCCCGAAAGAAGAGCGCTTCCATGCGACAGGCAAAAGAGCGACCCCGACTCACCACGGGCACGCCCCACGGAAGGGAAAGAAAAGAAAAGAAAAAAAGGGAAAAAACAGAATGAATTTTTATGGGAGATATGAGAGCGAATCCTGTTCCTGTGCCCGGACCTGTCTGAATCTTCGATTCCGGGAAACAGCATGCAGGCTGGTCAATTAGAGTACCACTGCTGTCAAAAAGAAACAGCACAAAAATTCAGGATAAGTATCATACCAGGTCATTTTTCCAGGCGGTCAATCTTATACAAAATGGTAAGGTAAAGGATGTTTGGATGTTACCGCCCCTCACCCTTACGGGACATTATTTATTTTGGCACTCCCAAAGTCACAGCAAATTAACGATTGAAAATACCGCTGTTAAGAGTGGAGGGGGGGGAACACAAACAAATAGGGTGGAAGTGGAGTTAGGCAATGGGAATTGGGGAGAAGGGGTTCGAACTGGATGCCCATACGGCACCTCAGAGACGCAACGCACCTCACACAAAGGTTCACCCACATACCGGTGTCATCCACATACCGTACCGGTACTCGTACACGACCACACAACCACACATTACCGTACGTACACAACCATAACTATGACGCGCACCGACACCAGGTCCGCAGAATTGGGTACGGGCATATCGTCGTCAACGGGGGGAATAATGGAAAGAGAATGGGAGGGGGGGGAGGTGCGGTGTGAGAGTTTTGGTTGTGTGGAGCCGGTCAGCGAACAATGGCGGCGCGATGTCGGCCCTTCCCCAAATCCGATCACACTTCTTCAGAGTAACTAGCAGGGGTCAAATCAATAGTGATCGCATCCCCCAAGCGAGATCGGGGTGCCCTCATTGTCAGAAACGCCCCAGACGCCTTCTGGTGGAAACGGATTCGCCCGAAACGATGAGAGCCTTTTTTTTCTTTCTCTCCCTGCGTAGGGTTCGGTCAAAAGTGTCCTCTAAGAAATTCGGTACACAAACAAATAATACGGTATATATGCCGAGAGCCCCCAGGAACTTCTCCGCTGTCGTGGCATCTTCATTGTATGCTTTATTTTTGTCGTCCGGTCTGGCAAAACCCGGCAGACTGGAAGCTGAATTTGCGGCAGGAGTTAAAAGAAAATAAGAAAAGAAAAAAAAATTAAATTCGGGGAGATCAGCCACTCACTATGAAACTCCTCGGGAAAGAGGGTTCTACCTGTCTGGAGATTCTCGAGAGCCGGTGTATCGTGTGATAGCAGCCTTTCCCTTCATGTGCCGGAGCTCGTATCATACGTGCATTCGCACATCCGCTTTTTTTTTTTCCTTCCCCTTCCTTTCCCCCTCTCTCCTCTTCCCCCCTCATACCCTTGCTCCCTCTCTACCTTTCTCGCTACCAACATCTCTCACTCCTTTTTCTCACTCTGCTGTCTTAAACTGGATTGATTTGAATGGTGATCAGTGCCAGAATAGAGTTAATAAAATAAATAAAGGGGGGAGGCGAATCTATTGTTGTGAGTTTATTTGCTGATGAAAAGATTCTTTTTTTTTTTTCCTTTTTCTCTCCTTTTTCCTTTTTGTTCTTTGATCTTTCGTGTGTCAGGAGTGCCAAACTTCAGGACCCAAGAATTCCTGTTACGGGGATCTTGGTGGTGGTATGTGAGGGCGGGCTCATGACGGCAGAGGTTGGGAAACTCATGAAACTCATACCGTTAGCCGGTAACCGCGCAATCCGGGCTGACATTACCACTGGCTGAGGACCCTTTATCAGATCCGAGTCTCAGTTCCACCAATTAAATGAATTTATAAGGGTCTAGCCCTCCCAACCAACCAAAGCCTCACGCTACTATCCTCCGGCCCCATCCACCAATTTAAACTTCAAACCCCCCTTCTCTCCTCCAACATCCCTGTCCCTTTATCAGAGAAAGCAAGTTCCATACTAATGCCTTCCAAAGATGAAGATGCTGAATTTGCAAAGGTACTTCCGCCGGCCGTTATTGTTCCCCGCCTTCTCTGTTTTCAATTCAGCGAAGGTTTGCTAACCCGGTTGTTTGCCGCTACACCGCAGGCCTACAGGGACCTCATGGAGTAACCAGCCGAATCAAATTTTGTTGGGCACGTGATTCTCGCTGACAAGCTCCTTTTTGCAGAGCTGAGAAGCATGCAGCTACCCTGGAAAATCAGTTGAATTCGCTCGAGCACAAATTGGATTCGTTTCTAGCCGAGCATGAGGGCAAACGTCCCGAACCCAACACCAACGCTTCGGAAAGCATTATCAGTGCATTGGGAACGCGGTTAAATGCTCCGCAAGGTAGTGATTCGGAGAAAACTCAGAAGGATTCTCAATGAGCCTGTGTGGTATTTTTGACGGGCGGGGGTGGTACTGGGATTGTCCGTGGAGCTTGGATAAGCCGGGTTGTCATTTCGTGCTTAGTGATTACCGCTTATCAAGGGATGCGACGGGATGGATTGTTATCCAAATCTACTGGAACCGCACTCGATATTAAAATATAGCATGGCCCGTTGATGTCATGGCTTTTGTACGTACCGGACCATCTTTTTGGCACTGCCCCAGCGGATCGCTTTTGCTCCCGTTTCTCGACAGCAGCCGGTTGGGTATTTCTGGGAAGGACATTTTCGCGCATGCTCTGAGTGTGCAAATTAGTGCGGCATACATTCCCCAGCTGTTCACAAGTGGATACTATACTCGTACAACAGCTCAACCCCAACGATTACTGACCAAATCGTTACTCGGACCAACTCAAGATGAGATTGGAAGATGATTAAAGAAAAAGGAATTGGTTAAGCTGATGTAATTCATTCTAAGCCAATAACGTGCTTATTATCCTTGGACGCCTCAAAAGAGCCTCGACAGATCGAAATCACCGCTCGCATCCTTGATGGCAACCCCCTTCTCGGTGACTATAGCATCGATCAAATCTTTTGGAGTCACATCAAAGCTAGGGTTATAGACATTAATACCCCTAGCTGCTGTGACCACCGCCCCCACGGTCTCCAAATCCACCTCCATGTCAACTGTGTCATTCCTCGCCAATGGACCACGGATAGCGGTTACTTCCTTTCCAGGTCTATGCTCGATGACAATATCCTTGCCCGAAACTGTCTTCATATCGATGCTCGTAGTCGGCGCGGCCACAACGAACCTGACACCGTGATATTTAGCAACGATGGCTAACTGATAGGTACCAATTTTGTTGGCTGTATCACCGTTGGCAGCTACACGGTCTGCACCCACGATAACGGCAGATATGGATTTGAGGCTCATGAGGGAAGATGCCATTGAGTCTGTGATCAACGTCGCTGGTATTTTATCGTGAACGAGCTCGAACGCCGTCAACCGGGAGCCTTGGTTATAAGGACGGGTCTCGGTGCAGTAAGTGTGCGTCAGGTTTGAACCGGAGTGCAACGAGCGTATGATACCCAACGCAGTGCCGTAGCCAGCCGTCGCAAGCGAACTAACGATCGAAATGAATAAAAGAGAAGACCCATACTTCAGCCGCGATGTTCCCAAATCCATAATCATTTTCACCCCCTATCTTCTCCCACTTGCCCATCTTGACCCAACAAACGTCCCCGAAAGGGCAATAAAGAAGGAGTAACTAACCCCGTGTTACAATGGGTCAAAACTGCAACCCTCCCCCTCCCCCTCCCTTCCCCCTCTCCAACCTCAGCATTCTCCAAAATCCACTCGGCCCCAAACCTCCCAATGTTCTCGTTGTCCTTGACATCATCCGCCAGCATCTTCTCTGCGGCCTGGACATACCTCCTCACCACTGTCTCGGCGCTCCCCGCTTCAGCGTTGGCAACGGCCTTCAATTTCCACGCCGCATCCGCCAAATTAACCGCAGTGGGCCGCGACTGGACCAAATAATCCAACCGCCTATGGACATACGCCTTCGCGCCCCCCGCACTCTCCCTGACTTCACCTGGAAGCCCCCCTCCGGAGCTCAGTTCGACCGCCAAAGCCAACACAGCCACGATCGCGATCGCGGGTGCCCCACGCACAACCATACGCTTTATCGCGTCGTAGGCGTCTTCGCACGTACGGATGGGGACGTAAACCGACTCGTGGGGGAGTTTTAGCTGATCGAGGATTTGTAGTGCTGGGGGGGTGGGCGTGTATAGGATTGCTCGGAGGGACATGTTGGGCGGATGAGGAGTGATCGTACTCGTAGCAGCCAAATAAACCCGATATGAAGTAGACGAGAAAAGGAGGGGGTAGGGGGGAAGGAGGAAGAATGGGGAGAAGGGGTTAGAAATGAACTTGTACCAAACACCCCACCCAACCAGCTAATCTCCTTTCAACCTTTCCCTCCCTCCGGTGGCACTTCCGGCGGCAAATAAAAACATGCAGTGGAGTGAAAAGCGGACAAAAACAAAAACAAAAAAAAAGCATGTCCATATGGGAAAGATGTGTGGGAAAAAAAAAAATCCCACTCCACCTCCCCTCTCCGCCAAGACTTCCGGTGCATTGGATTACCTCTTCCTCGCCCGGTGCTATCGATGGTGATCACCGTCGACCGCACGCGGAGGAGAGGCGGGAGTAATCTACCGTTCACGGTTGGTGAGGCCTTGGAGGGGGGGGTTTCCTCCCCCCCCCCACCTCAGATACATACTGCATGCTCTTCTGCAGCTTGACTTGAGATGGGATGTCTGCAGACTGTCTGGAGCTCAAGTGGCTGGTTCTGGTGGCAAATGCTAGCTTAGTTTGTCGTTGGGTGCGTTCTCTGCTGGTGCGCGGCATTGCTGATCGATTTCCTAGGGACAAACTTGTAAAGGGGTCATAAGGAGGTTTTTTTTGTTTTTTTCCTCCCTTTTCCTTTTCATGCAGAGACGATCGTTGGTTTTGATGAACAAACGAATGGACAGGAAAGGTGTTTGCACACGAAAGAAACAGATGAAAAAATGAATATTTAATGGACAGCTCCGTATATACACGCACACCTTGATAAGAGAGAAAAAAAAAGGCGACAAGCAATCAAAGAAAAAACAAAGAAACAAAGACCCTTTCGCCAATCCCTAAATATATATATGCGAGGAGTAGAATCATTTTTCCCTTCCGATTTGAACAAGATATAAATTACTGTAAAGGAAATTGAGGGGGGGGGGGGCAGTCGTAGCCCTGTGTGATGATGATGGGGGTGATCTCGCCTTCAGCTGATATCCGAGATAAACATCCTCACGAAATAGTTCCTACAATAGAAAATCTCTGGTAGTAGTCCTGTCCTGTGATCTTGCTTCCCCTCCTTGGGATCTTATGTGCCCCATCGCCTATGCAATAATCTCTTTGTCTCACTTTCCCGTCAATTGTTGCCCTCCTCCCGTGGCCAGTTCCGGGTCTACTTGATGAGCCGTGAACGCCTTGATCATTGGTTACAACATGATCGAAAGACTCTGCATTAGCAAACCTCGCTGGTAGCGGCGGAACTGGCTCGATTGGCGGTAAAGAAGTCGGAACGTCCAATACTGAATCCTGATCCCGGGCAATTGTTGATGTGCTCCTTCGGCGTCTAAGTAAAGATAGTGATCTCTTGACCTTGACCACAGGTCTGCTGTTAAGCAATTCCGGAACGGGTTCCGCCCTAAGTACCGCTTTGAAGTCCCCATATGAGCATCTCCTCCTGATAGCCGCCATCATGCTCCTTGCCAATGACTTCTTCCTCCTTACACCCTGTTTAGCACCCCACACCTTCCTGGACCCCCCATTCGCTTCTTGGGAAAATGGACCACTGTCCGTTGCCATCGAGTTCACATCGTGTTTCGCCCTATTGCATGTAGTGCGACTATTCACCGACCCCGTCGAACTGTAACCTGAATCGGCTCCACTACACCCATCGCAGTCTTGGAGGCTTGGTCGTGACCGTAGGGAGACACCTCCACCTGCTTGTTCTCGTTCCGGCGGTGGAGCAGGTTCGTCGTCATCGTCATCGTCATATATAGGTAATCTCTCAAACGCATCATAGAAACTGACATTCTCTTGGGGGACGGAATCCGAATACCCCATATTGGGACCTAAATCTAGGTCCGGTATTGTGCCCGGTTCAAGTGTCGGACTCTGGGCGAAACTGAAAGGACTCTCCGGAACCCTATCCTCAGGTCCCTGTCCCGTAACCCTTGGCGATGAAGGCACCAGACGAACCCCACGGAAAGGGGCTACCGACTCCATGCTCCTGGCTCGATGCAATCCTCGTGCCGGTCCGAGGTTTGAGCCCTTACAAGGTGCGGCAGGGCTTTGACAAGACGGCTCTTGTTCGGCCGAAATCCTCGGGGATACCGGCGCGGAGGATGGAGCCGGAGACGCGGCACCGTTCACGATTCTCAAGGACCCTCGTTTAAATGCACCAATGACACTACGTCCTGAGGGTGATGTACAACGCCCAGCATCCAACTCAGCAGTCTGGGCATACGGCGTTTGGGAGAAGTAGTCCACGTAATCCCCGTAATCCATTGTCAGGCTCTGGCATTTAGTTCTCCTAGTAGCAGTCGCAGGTGGGGCAGCCAGAAGTTGAGATCTACGTCTGACCGTTCCAATAGCAGCAGTCGTGCCATCGCGTTCGGTGCGCACCGTGAAGGACCCCGCGATGCTATTGGCCCTAGAGCGCCTAACTGTGCTGCCTGCAGTCCCGGTAGAATGTTCGTTTCCCCCAACCCACGTCACCGCCAGATCTTGAAATCCTACGTTTGCTCCAAAATCGGCGTATACAGGGAGTGTAATCGATCCGACTAAATGATTTCCCCCACCTCCAGCACATTTACCCCCCAGCGCCTCGAATTCCGGTCCCAAGCGATGGGTGACATCTGGCAAGGCAGCCCTCGCCTGTGGGGCAGAGAATCTATTCCTGTATGGATGGTCCCGAGACTAAACCAGACCTTAGTAAACGCATTTCTTTTCCTCCCCCGCAATCCGCCCCCATTGGCAGGACAAGTCTTCCAGACGCTCCCGCAACCAAAGCAAGAGGGAGAACAAACCGTGACGGAATTCGTACGAGGTTTGGTGAGCTTAGTTCGAGGAGGAAGAGTGTTGGCCTGATTTCCCGGTCGATGCTCCGACGGGAGAGACTGTGTAGCGCCCATCTCTAAGAGGCACAGATCTCACGGGGAATATTCTTGACGGGAATATTCACTGGGTGGAAGAGGGGTTCGTTAAAAACCAAGAGCCCGGGCCAGACCCGACCTAGAAGGGGTGCGCTCAGGGAGAGGGCGAAGGCCGGATTAACGAGGCATGAGACCAAGACGTCAGCAGGACGTCAGCAAGGAGTTCCCCGTCCGCGCAGGTGAAGTAAATCACAATGTGAGCAAAAAGGGCTTTTAAACAAGGCAGTACTTGTATATCAGGAGTAACAGGCGAAAGGCTTGATTGCTATCGAGAGGATGGAACAAGGAAGTGGGAACAAGGGAGCAAGGGAGCAATGATGGCTAGCAGAGTATGGGAAGGGAGCGCGGTAGGAGAACAGGTTGGGTATGGGCGAGAGGAAAGGGGAAGGGGAGGAGGAAAGGGAGATGGAAGTGACCGCACCACGTACGCGCACACGCCACGCCACATACAATCGCCCACAGCTGCAGACACGAAGATGAACAGGACAGGGAGATTGTGATGATGATGATGATAATACTTGTACATGGGGGGGGTCCTTGGCATCAGACGGAAACGGGGACCAGCAGGAAGACGAGATGAGGGGGGAAGAACGGGGCCGTGGAGTCTGGTCCCGGCATGGTACCGGTGCCGGTAGGGTGCCAAAGTGCACAATTTTTACAGAGCTGTATGGGTGGAGGGATCTCTCTCCCTCTCCATCTCCATCTCTTGGAGGGTGGGATGAAAGGCGCAAGATGGGAGGATGGAGGAGGGGGGGGTGGTGCTACCGGTTGGTGAAGCAGAAACTCGTAAAGCGAGAGGTTGGGCGAAGATTGAACTCTGAGAATTGCATGGTGGCAGCGATTGTCGGCGTAGAAGATGTCACGCCCGAATGAAGCAGGAAAGAAGAGGTTTGAGCAGGGATTGGGCGTTTCAGGTGGCGTATGGGGGGGAGTGTGTTTACCGTAACCGACGGGCGGCTTGTGCGTCCAGTCATAACACGCCGGCGACCCCATCGCTTCACCCTTTTCCCCCTCCCACACTGAACAAGACTACTTTTGCCGTGGAGAAGGCTGCTATACCCTGTTTTTACTCTTTTTCACGAATAGCTGAGCTCTTGTTTGAGAAACTGTAGCGAGAGAGAGAGAGAGAGGGAGAGAAAGCTGAAAGATCTCATTCTAAGCCGAGTGACACTACCGGTATATAGCCTGTGGATGTCCCTCCCCCCCCCCTAAAGTAGCGGTACTTGCAGGAACGCAGTACTCGTACAGTACTCACCTTCTCATCGTAGTCATCTCCGTTGGCGATATGGGTCGATATATCACTCTACAGTACAGGTACAGTGCTGCACTCGACGGCCACTCGAGGAATGCGTTCATCCCCCAGCTATTCTAAGCACTAACCATCCCTCTACGGCTAAACTCCACCAACGCTACGAGTATCATACCTGTACAATACCATACCAATAACATCTCCCCTCCTACTATCCATTCCCCCGACCGAGCACGACACCGCACCATGCTCGGGCGAAATATCACGAAGGGAAGGGAAGAGGGGGGGGAAACCCCCCCTCTCTATCATATCATCATCACACAACCAAGTATTCGAGTACAGTTATCGGCAATGCCAAATAGTAAAATCCTTCGCCGCGCGACGCTCATAAGATCATCATCCCCGCAGAACCTGATGGTACAAGTACAGTAGTACATGTAGATCCTCCCAATCGTCGATAACATCTCATCTCACTCCCAGCCTCCCCCGTTTTCTCATTTTTCTCTCCCATTCGTTCTCGCACCATGAGAAAGAAAGAGAAAAAAGATGTCTAGCTTATAAGCACTCATCCATCCATCTCCCAAAGTGCAATAAAACGCGCCTAATCCTATCAGACGATCACGCTCAGCTTGTCCGAGTCTCGCCCCGATATATTATCATATCATACAATGTTAGATACCGGTAGTAAGTGTAAAGAGATGATGACCTTTTTTTCTCTTTTCTTTCTCCTTCTTTCTTGTTCGAATGATTCCTTCCTTCCGAGATATTTGCACTATTACTAACGTTTTCCATCCATCGATCGTGGCGGTGGTATGTAAAAGTCTTTGCGTGAGATACTGTACCTGTACGTACAGTATGATAGGATACCGGTAATGCCCCCCCCCCCCCCCCCCCGCCCTACCACCAGTCGGATGCACTTCCTCCATACTCTAACTTGTCCCATGATATGATATGATACGGTGCCTAGCGAGACCACACCACCTTCGTTTCGTTACTTTAGTCTACGCCCTACCGGAATTGACCCTTATGCCTAGAGGTAGAATAGATCAGAGCGGAAGGTTACACCTATTATCTACCCCGCCAGTAAAGAAAAACCCGGCTTTTTTTTTTTTCCTTTTTTTCCACCAAAGCTGAGGCTGAGAATGATCACTTTCGCGGCGTTCTCGCCCACCCCCCCCCCCAACCCCGCACAACCCGATTACGGTACCGTACCGTACAGTGCATATTCGATTTCACATCATGCGGGTAGAAATCCTCCCCCAAAATCTTAAAACCCAGTAAGAAAGATACCGGTATCACAGAATACCCTAGACCTACCGGTAGACTACCCTTCATCATCTTCAGGAAGAGCAAAAAAACCCACAAACCTCGCCCCCGTTCGTATGCCTGCCTGCCTGCCTACCTGCCTCCAAATCACCGTATCGTATCGTATCACATCGTGGAACGAACAAATTTAATATCATACACCCATGAGCAGACGAAGCGATCATAGTTCGGGGGGCTGGGGAACTGGGGTGTGTGTGGGGTTGATGATGAGCATATCATACAATACAATACAATACAATTACTTAGGCGCCCACTCCCCGAGAAAAAAAAAAAAAAATACCCCCTCGAAGTGGACAACCGGTACCGGTAATGCCCCGAGGGGTTAAGCGTAAATTTTTAATTAATCAATCAAATCATGAGAAAGAAAAAAAAAAAGTGTGTATGATTGATATAAGTCTACCCGTCAGAAATCGGGAGGCTGGGTGTTTACTGTACTTGTTGCGACTAGCGAGCGAGTGATGGGGGATGATGAGGAGAAGGAGAATTTCGACAGCTTTTTTTTTTCTTCTTTTTTTTTCTTTTTTTCTCTCCTTCCATCCGGGGTGTTTTTATCGTATTATAGAGTTTATGCGTGAGAGTATGATGTGCCGGCCTGTAAGGTGAGATCCTAGCCTACCGGTATAGTACAGTACCGGTGCTGCACAACGAGCGCGTATTTTTTTTTTTTTTGGTGAAGTGTCTCGCCTTATTGATTGGTAGACTATCATACCGGTACCGCGATATTCTGGGGAAGCCGGGAGGGTGAGAATTATTAGTTATGTCATACAGGTTGCCGTATCGGGTACCGGTACTGTACGGTGGAACGCCCTTATCGTACAGTATCATATCCGTGCTATTCACAGTCACACTCATCATCCTGACGGTCGAAAGGGGCTTGGGCATGATGCCGTATCATACCGGTACCGGTAGTCTACTGTACAGTAGACTGGCACAGGCAGCAGCAGAGGGGCACAAAGTTACCGGTGGGGAGCCTGAGATGTACTGTACTGTACGGTACCGGAGAGTGCGCAGCGTGCGAGGTCATATTACCGTATTCCGCCGATCGCTCCGGGTTAGGTTGTTTTTGAGCTGTGGCGGGTGTCTGTGTGGCTATATGCCCTCTTGTTTGCTAGTTGCTAATCATCCGTCTCTATTGCACGGCTCCCGGTCCGGCATTTTCTATCTGTGCTCGCGCCGGCCGAATTGGCGTCGGATATCCGGGGTGGCGATTCAGATACCAGCCATACAGAGTGTCCGGTCTCAGCTCGGCCGCACGAGCACCGGTATGCTATCATAGTCTCGAGGTGCATAGATAGGCATAGAGAGGGATAAATCCCGCTGGAAAAGGCGAGTGGGGCGGACAATGGGGTGAAAGGCTACTCTAAGGTGGGGTTAGTTTTTGCTCAAGCCGTTGTGAAACGTTATCTTAATTCCGTTTTGACTGCATAATGTGTGTTTTGCTCTGCATCGGATCCGCCGACTGCTATGATAAGCCTAGACTTTAAGGCACCTACGGTAGGGAGTCTCGAGGAGGCCTCATCGCTTTCCAAAATTGCCTCCAGCCTAGTGATCAATTACGCCAAGTCCGGGGTGTCGGCGGATGGCCCCGAAGATTGTGTGCGGCGATCTGTGCAGTGAGTGACAGTTTCCCTTCTGGCCAGGCTTGTCTGAGGCGGTTTCCTTTTCCGGATCTCATAATGGAGAGGTTCGGGTTTCCTCCAGATCGATCCACTGGTCTGTGTATTTATGGAATCCATTCTTGGCACAACCTAACCTCTTCGCCCGACTCCTCCTCGGTATGTACGATGCTCGAGTAGGGGCCGTAATGCGCTGCGCATCAATCTCCCGTGGAATGGCATGGCATCCCATCGCATACGCACCACACCTAGGGATTGGCATTTTATTTATATGTGTTTCCAAAATACTGTAAAATACCGCATTCTATTTTTCAAGACGTATTTTATTTCGCTCTGTATGTTCTAAATATATGGGGCTCACAACCTCAAAAACAGAGAAGAAGGAGGTAGAAAGTTGTAGTACCAGATAAGTATGCAGATACAAGTTAGATAGAATTCAAGACTCCTAATCAGCATGTGGTCTCTTTGGAATTAAAGTCTGATCTGTCAGGAACTCCTTGTGCTGACAGCTGGTATAGGCTTGTATGTGGCATGATACATCATACTGAAGCAACCTAGAGCAGGACCAGACCTTGTATCTAACCAAAAAGGAAAATTGCAATAGAGTATACCTTTTGTCTAGGTTCCACAGGAAGGATTTCAAATATATTATGAAGCTGTGAATTCTTAGTTTGTACTACTTTCAGCTGTTGACTGAAATATGTCTGATATGATTCATGGTAGGCAAGTGATCAGAAATAGCAGCCTATGCTACAAAACTTTCAAGTTATGCATTTATGATACCTTTTTATTCAATAGAGGAAATTTTGGTCTTTAGAGTATTGGTTTCAGGATAATGATTTTAGGACACATATGTAATATGTGTAATGTATTGTATTGTATTTGATGTAAGATGAAAAATACGGTGCTAATATCATAAAATACCTACCCTATTTTACCTACTCCTAGTCACACCCCAACCACACATCTCGCCGCATCCACCCCCCACGAACACTTCCTCGATCGGTATTGATCCTTCAGATAAGATAACCTTATTCTGCTCCTCCACCAATCAACAGCCCGATCCGTGACTACTAGTCTCAATTATCCCTACACCCAGCGCACACCACAAACCACAAACCACATTAAGAACCCTGACCCCTCCCGACACATATCCCTGTCCAAATTGAAAAACAGAGAGAAAAATATTCTGCAACATTTCTTCCCCACCACGCAACCTGACCAAAGCAATAGCCTTATTATTTTTTTCTTTTCCAACCACAATAACCGATTCTCCTATCGGGGGCGACAAGAGAAGAAAAGGGGGAAAAAAGGGAAATGTCTCCAGAGGAGGAGAGCTTCGCCGGGGTTAACCCCGAGCGCCTCGCCATGCTCCAGGCAAGGGAGAACCCCGTACCGAGAGATTTCCCCAGTAGAGGTCGAAGTCGAGATCGAGATCGGGGTCGCAGCTGGGGCCGAGGCCGAAGAGGCGGAGGTGGTGGTGGTAGGGGAGGCTATCAAGCGAACGGGCGAAGATTCGCCTTTAACAGAGGTGTTGGTTCTCCAGCTGCGGCGAATGGTGGGACTAAAGAGTCTACCCCGGCCGAGGAACAGCTTTCGGGAGCGGAGATGAGGCTAGCGTTTAAGAGGAACCAGGAGAGGAGGAGTGGCGCTGTGGTTGAGAATTGTGCGAATGGTGTGGATGAGAAGGAGAGGAAGAGGAAGTGGGGTGACGAGGTTTGAATTCCTTCCTTTGGGTAGGGGAGGGGCATTTACTGACTATGCATAGGATACTGCCACGGTTGGGTCTTCATCCGGGGCCTCCAAAAAGATGAAGAACGACGTGACCAACGGTGTCGCTGCCATTACTAACGGCGCTCCAACTATGGATAAGAGGCGGAGGCACAAGAGGAAAAAGAGGGATAAGAAGGCGGAAAGGGCAAAAAAGCGTGCAGTAAAATTAGAAGAAGAGCCCACGCCCGCCGGCAGAGCCCTCTCCGCATCTGAGCAACTAGACGACGACCAAAACCTCTCCAGGGAGGCCAGAAAAGCTGCAAAAAAAGCAAAGAAGGAAAAAAAGGAAAAGCGGAAGGCCGCGAAAACCGGAGAACTTGTCAATGGTGATGCAGGGTCCAGTGAAGATATTTCCAAATCTAGGGTATTATATTATACGGATCTCTTCCCCCCGCAGACCGCAATGCAGACTAACCAACCATACCGCAGAAACCCAAAAAGGACAAAAAGTCAAAAACAGACAGATCCAAAGAGCCTTCCTATTCGCCCACGGATCCTGCACCCGCCAAAAAGTCCAAGAGATCCAAAACAGTTAGCTTTTCCCAATCCCACATTTTAACTCTTAGCGTTGACGACGCTCAGGAGATCTCGGCAGGAGTAGGAGGAGCGCGAGCGGAGTCAAAGTGGACTACAGCAGCAGCAGACCTCCCCGGCGACGATCAACGAAAGTCAAAGTTCCTGCGATTGTTAGGTGCTGGTGCGGGCGCTGGCGCTTTGCCGGCTACCAATGGTTCGGCTTCGTCGCCATCTACCAAGACTAGAGAGAAAGAGCTTGAGAGGCAGTACGATGCTGGGCTTAAGATGAAGGCAGAGAAGAAGCGGAGGGGTCTTGGTGCGTAGTGGGGCAGGTTCTGTCTTTTTTTTTTTAAAAAAAAAGGAAGTAACGAAAGTAATGGTGGAGGTTGGTTTATGAGACATTATGGTTGGTTAGTGTTCCCCATCCGTGATGGGTGATGGAAAAAAAAAGGGTTGAAGTTATGCGGTAGAAATGGATTTATCTATATAGGGCAATGGTAAAAAAAAAAAAAAAAAAAAAAAGTAAATGAATATTTTGAGAACTACCGTACGTGGGCTTGCGAGTGTTTCTAAGAACATTATTCCCGGGGGTCTCGTGTTTCTTTGGTGGTATACCGGCAGCATATTATAGAGTCCGAGGCAATGATATCTACGTTTGCCAGAAGGGGGGGGGGCACAACTCCGCAACCTCAACCTAACATGTGCATAGATTTCAATAACCCGATGAACAACAAGATGTAAACCCACGACACATACACACTTCCCTCCTCTCCTCCCCCGTCACGACCTATTCACACAGACCAGCAACGATCGCGTAAAGCGCAGACACCAGGCACACACACACGCCCTGAACCGGACTTATCCGGGGGGGGACAAATATTTCTCCAACCTCCCTCTCCAAACTCTCCCAATCCACAAATCCTACTCAAAAGAACATCCGAATAAGCTCAAAAACGATACCTCCAAACACGGCGAATCCGATAACGACTGCAGTCACCACGTCCGTCAGCACTAATAGTCGTAACGTACCGTACACCCTGCCGTAGGGCGCGCAAGAGAGAGAAAGAAAGAAGGAAAGCGACATACTCAACCAACCCTGAGAAATCGGCGACTTGAACGTTTGCTTCTTGATCGCCTTCTCGGGCTTACCGCGCTTGGCCTCCTCGCGTTTGGCGAACTTTTCGTTTGCCCTGCGTTGTTGGGGTGTTTGCGCCTGCGACATTATTATTATTATTATTTTTTGCTCGTCCCCTTGCTTGGAGGGTTCGCTTCTACAGGAGAGGGTGAGGGAGAGGGAGAGAGACGTACCATGACGAACAAAGTCGAGTTAAGTGCCAACGGTTCGATAATTCGAGAGGAGAAGAAGCGCACGATACAACGAACTCGATCAATTCGCGGGAAAAGAAAAAAGAGACTTCGTTTGCGAAAGCGGGAGAAGGAGGAAGGAAGGACCGAAAGCTGTTGCTGTTTTCTGCAGATGTTTAAACAAGTAGAGAGAGAGGGAGAGAGGGTGGGGCTGTTGGTCGTGGATGCCGATGCGATGATAACTTAGCTTAACTTAACTTGCAAGTTCGGCGTGAGGACACCTAGACGCTTCCCGAGTTAGGATACGGTATACACAATGGTAGTTGTGACCAGATTGACTGACTAATCGAACGTGGCCTCTCTCGTCGTGTGTCATACCATCGACTACTGCCAAGACGGAGGGAATAACTGTAAGAGGATAAATTTATGGCAATAACTTTTGTGTTGGAAGGGGATTCTGCTGTTCGTTTGTTTCTGATCTACTGTACTCGTAGTCCGCGGGTATGATTGTCGGTACTGTAATTATCGTAGGTCGGTCACGGCTATACCCGAGTACTGTACAGCAGTACCGTACCATCAACAATTCCCATCCGTGAGGATCCATTATATAACCACACCCACGGCACTGTACCGTACTCGGGTACATACAGTCGCCATTAGACTACCCACCAACCAACCCCACCAAGAAGAAGAAGCAGAAAACAAGGAAACAACAACATCACAATCGATGAGCCAATTCACCCACAGAGCAGCAACAGCATCCCTCTCACTCGCGCAGATCCTCCCCCGCCCGCCGATCCGACCCCACCAACATCGAAGGACCCTCGCGGACCTGGGTGGCGGGAAAGCTACGTCGTCGCCGCATGTAATCCACCCCCCCCCCTCTCCACAAATCCATACATAGATAAATAAACAAATAAATAAATAAATGAGAATCCAATTGACCGGGAGGAAAAAATAGGTAACCTTCTACAAGGATTTCGGAAGACCTATCGCTAAGGTCTTCCTCATGGCGTTCTTCACCTATCAGGTTACGTATTGGGCCTGGGTGAAGATGGAGAAGGAGGAGGTTAGGGGTGAGAAGGAGAGTAGGTGGTTTTCCATGCCTTCTTTCTTACGGAGTTTTTTTTTTTTTTTTTTGCTAATGGTAATGGGATGAAGGGGAGGTTTTGGCGGTTGAGGGGGAGGTTTCGAGGTTGCGGGGTGAGGTTAGGAGTAAGGGCTCGGGTGGGAATAAGTAGGGTACCGGTAGAAGTTTTGGTCCGTTGAGGGAGAAATGCACTCCTGTTTGATCACCGCTCGCGTTGTGGTTTTTTGTTATGGTATGCTCGTCGGGTGCGGTGGGGTGAATATGGTGGCGGGGGTGATAAGGTATGGTGAGGGATGAGAAGGGGGAGGAGGGGCTTTGTCGTCCCCGTTCTCACCCATCAATAGCAAATCCCCAATTATTCCTCTTGGGAGCTACATATCATACTGTAAAGACGTGGATTAGAAATCGTGGCTTGCGCGTAAGGATGTATTCCACAAGCCCAAGTCATCCATTCACCCGTGGAGACGTTACAAGTAATAAGGGTGAACAGCAGTACCGTACCGGTACGAAACCTTCCGACTCCTGGAAATGTACTGTACGGTACATCAGTCGATAGACAATCAATCCCCCAGTACGGTAAAAGCCTCTCAACGTATCTTGAATGCTCATGTATATGGCAATTACAACTCCACCAGGTACTGTACTGTACGCGAATCGCATGATGTAACGAATCCACCGTTAGTTCGCTCCCTTCAAGACCGGTTTGTACTCGTACTCGTACAGTATAGTCCACGGTGCGCGCGCGGATATGCTGTATCTCACCGCGAACGCACGATTCCGTCTACCAGTACTGTACCAGTGTACCCCACCGGCAGCCACCGTACGTATGATACTGTAAATACGGGTACGCCGGATGCCATCCCAGCAAACAACAATTCATCCATTCAGTTCGCTACGCTACCTAACCCTAACAATGGAACACGGAACCAGCGCATTTATCGTCCATCCCGTACGGTACGAGACGAGACGAGCACAGCCCCAACGGACACAACCGAATCATATGCCGTGCAGGTTGGACTTACCCTTCCCGTACCCATCCAATGTCTCACATTTCTCGCAGCTTAGGGCTGAGTTTTAGATCTTCTCGCGCCGAGTTTCCAGAGCGCGGCACGGTTCCGTTGGGAAATTCCCCGGATGCCCCGCGTGCGCTTTTATTGCTTGTTTCGCGGCGGGTGGCGCGTTGTGTGTTGTGTGCGCTGGGGTTTCGCGGAAGTGAGCGGCTGGGTTGGGACGGGATGCTCCCGTGGCACTCGAGTACGGTACGCGCGGGCGATGCCGTGGATGGGGTTGGTATGAGTGTGAGTACAGTGCTTGTACCGCACGAGTATGATACCGTGTGTTACGCACATTACCCTCACGCAAGACAAAGGCGGATCGGAGGATTGATCCAGCCGCAAGTGTCGAGTCATATCCTGTGATCCGGCCCGTGGGCCGATTCATGTTGATGCCTTGAGTGCACATTCGATACCAGGCAGCCAGCTAAGGGCGAAGATCGAGTTCGCTCCGGGCTGCCAAACTGCCCGAGACGTAAGCTAGCAATTCCAGTATGATACTATGATATAATACCATCATCCTCACACTTCAATCACGTGACTTCCTCTCCCCCCGCACAAGTATTATCCGGTTTCCACGGCGTACAATAGAAACCGCACGAGCTCACATCCTAGTCACACGACTGTGATAGCTTACTGCACTTCTAATGCAATCTCATAGACTTTCAATCTCCATCTGCTTTTTATTTTATTTTATTTCCCCAGTGTCATCTCGTCTTATCTAGCCCTTCAGCCCTAGCTTATCGCACGTGCCTAGTATCTGTACTGCACATTACAGCACTTTTAGCATTGATGCACCATGTCACTTGCTCGCTAAATTGCTGCCCGGTTATGATTTCCTGTAAGCGCATTGGTGCGGTTGCATCTCGGAGGTTCATGTTTGTGAAGTGAGGGCTAGGATTTGGATTGGGGTCGGGCGGTGGGGGTATAAGCTGACTTGAGATCGTGGGCGTGGTGCGGGGTTTTGCGCGATGGGGAGGTTGGAATTCTGGGTTTGGTGATGGGGGGGGGGGGGTCAGGCGAGGAGGAGGCGGTTTGTATGGGCGTCAGCGGGTCTGTTGGGAGAGGTGCCGTCGGGTGTGCTATACTGTGCTATGCATTGTAGTTGCCGTTGTGGCGCGCTTGGACTTTCGGTATCTTTGCTGGATACGGCCTTCCCATCAGGGTAGGCCTGATTCCGTCTGCTCGCGTGATAGGAATGTACGGTGCTCCTATTGGCATACCTGGGTGTTCCCTCCCGTGAAGGGAATGAGCTTGGCACAGCGTACTCCATGTCGGGAATAAACTCATGTTGCTAAAGTACCGCCCTCCGGGAGTCTCATTCCCGAGCTGTGTGTATACTCCTGCGGTCACTCGGCGGGGAGATAGCATATATCCATCTCTGGTAATTGCCTGTGCTCTTTTGCCGGGGGGTTACCGGTACAGTACATCTCCCTCTCTTTTGGATGCCAAGGCTTCATCGTACCAGTGACAGTGAACTCGGTACCCTCAACAAAACCCCGTGCACTCAAATCCATATATTCCTGATAATGGCTTTAGTGCACGGCATGACGCAACCCCAACCCTCTGGAGCCCTCTTCCCTCCCGTTCCCCATCACAACTCAACTGCCTGCGCCTTCTTACCCAGGGTTCGTAGCATTCCCCTCCACGTCAACTCCGAGTTTGGGTTCTCGAGCCCGAAGTATTACTTGCCCGTCCCGTGCAAACTTTTGATTATCAAACCTTCAAGATTGGTTACTCTCTCTAACATTGTGGGTCTAGTATGAGCGTACGTCATACGTCTGCCTGGGCCGTCGTCATGCTCTGCTAAGGTGAGCGTCCCATATGTGCGCGATCGCAGTTACCGGTATTGTGAGATAGACTATGGTATCTAACGTAAGCTAGGGGAGTTTGCGGGGTTTAGTCTTTTTCCGGTGGATGGATTGGTGCTGTACCGTACTCGAGCACCGGTATGGTATCATACTCGGATTGATGTGTTGCATGCGGCGCGGAGCACGAGTAGAGTGGGGGTTGGGTTGGATGTGGCTGTGCGGGTGTGTGGGTTGTGGTCGGATGTGGCCGGTCGGGTCTTGAGCAGGGCCTTGCTCGGGTTCGGCTGGAGGGGTCCTAGATTGGGGTGTGAGTGCTCGAATACGGTTTACTGTACCGGTACGGTAGTGATGACGGGTAGGTGCTCATACAAGTGCTGTATCATACCACCACTACCGTTTCCTGCTCCACTCTTCTCTGGTAGTGGTTCGGGGGAGGTTTTTTTTTCCGGGTTACCGGTATCTGGCAATGGGATCATACCTGTACATGGCAATGGGATCATACCTGTACCAGTACAATGCTAGGACTGGCACCGCCCCATCTTGCGTTTATGGGGTTCGGGCTCTTCCGACAGGGGTTAGGCTGTGTGCCAATCTCGGGATTCCGGTGCGGTACTGTCGGTACTGTAGTACTGGCATTGTACCCGGACTCGCGAAAAGCACCAATTCATGTGCTTTGCCCATTCACTCTCGCCGTGAGGCTGGCGAGAATGCTGGCAGCGACGGGGCTCTTGATACTGTAACTCGAGCGGATATCTCGGTGATGAACGCTCACACTAAGGATCGGTATATTCTCAATGAAGCGAATCTGCCAGTTTGTCCACTTCAAAATACCTGTACGAGTACTTTGACCCCCGACTGGGAACGGGTTGTGGGTATGGGCGGGTTGCAAAGGGCCTAGGATATGATTTGTTGGCTTTCATGAACGGATCGTACGAGTAAATCTATTTTGTCTTTTGCATAGTCCCTGGGAAGCCAGGTGTGGGTAGAAGCCCGAGCCGGGGTTTACCAATCGGACATAAGACAACCGTCTCCGGAATGGATAGGAATCCGGTTGTCGGATCTCGATTGTGGCGATGATCCGCCGGCCGTTGCCGTTTATGGCTTGCATATCCTGCTGGAGCCTCTATAATGACGTACAGTAGAGCGCTGGATAGAGGCTTGGGTTGACGATTCGATGTTCGCTTCCCGCGCGGGCCGTGGGGGAATCTTCGAGATGCCCTGAAGGAAAAATGCCTGATCTTAACTTGATGCTCTTCAAGCCCGTGATCCCATCGTACCCGTGGGTAAGGATTTTGTGGGCATTTTTCTTCAATCTGGGCCCTTCGGACTCCCGGTAAGTACTCGTCCTGAAGAGGAGGGAAGAGGGAGGAGAGGCAGGACTAAGGTAGCCGTCCGGTCTATTCCTGCTAACCGAGAATAATACGGTAGTTGGATTCGTAACCCTGGCTGCGGATTCACTCTGTCGAACTGGTTGGCAAACCAACTGGTTCTCCTTCCTTCCTTCCGTCCTTAGTAATGGCGAGCATAGGATGTTCCCTACCCCCTTGATCTCATATATCTCCTGGTTTCTTGTCTCCCTCTGATCCTCTTTTTTATCTTCCACTCTTTACCTATTCTCAGACGTTGGCTAGTCAACACACGGATCCACACAATTCCTGCACCCAATCCAGTCCCACCTACCGATAGACCCTGGTCTCGTTGGATAGGTGACCCTTGCCCCTTCACTCCCACTCACTCGGCGAAAAGAGAGAGAGGAAGCCATTGAGACTTCGTCACGGATAACGAATTGGCTACTATGGACCACAACTCCGATGCCAGCAGTATGGCAGCCGTGACTCGCAAGGAGAGTCGATTGGAGCGCGCAAAGAAGCGTTTTCCGTATTGGATAATGCCACTGATATGTGCTGGTGTTTGGTTCTGTAAGTTTGATTCCTCCTTGCTCTCCTGTCATGCGAAAGCCGTTTTGGCTCGTGGTCACGGTAGGGGACTGACTTTGGGATGTTCTAGCTATGCTTTGGGCTATGATGATTACATGGCTTGCTCAGGGAAAGCCGATATATCCTTCCATGAACAGGGACCAGACCATTGCCTACATTTCGGATATTGGTGCCCGACCCAGACTCCGGGATGATGAAGGGTGTTTTGGGAGGCGAGTTTGCTAATGTCTGGGGATCAGGTGCCAATGTCCTCAAGCCATTGTTTGTCACTGGATGTGCTATTGCCGCCGTAGGGTTTGTGTTCTCGCTGGCTTTTATGCGTACGTCCCCCCTCACTGGTTGGTATCGTTAGGGGGCGAATTAATTGCTAAATTTCCAAAAATAAATAAATCACAGGCCGGAATCACGCCCTCAGGTCCCGTCTTGAAAGCACTATGGATTGGCTCGCGCTTGCAACAGGGTCTCTTGGGGCTGTGTCCCTGATTTTGCTTTCTGTGTTTGATACGCAGAGACATTCTTCTCTTCACAAACTTTTCTTGTTCCTGTTTATGCTTGGTGGGAACCCACCGAATACTTGATCTTGTGAGTCCCTTGGAATAAATCTAACCGTGTGGAACTATAGGCGTAGTCCTCTCTGCAGTCTTTACAACGGTCGAGTACTGGCGCCTTGGAAGGACCTACGTCGAACACCCGATTTTGAGGAAAAGTTACTGGACAAAGACCGGTATTATCATCATCGAAGTTGGATTGTAAAACTCCTACATCTCATCGTCACTAAACTTTTCCCTCATACTGACATGGCCTAGGTCCATCGCATTCGGAACCACAATGTACAAACGTAAATCCAATGCAGCAGCAGTTCTTGAGTGGCGTATGTTCCCAATATCTAACCGCATCGTGTAGACTGGAGCTAACGTAATCACCCTAGTGGTCGCCTTCTTCTTCACATTCTACGTCATCTCTTTTTTCTACGATCTCCGACCTAAAGCCCGGACGAAGGAGGAAATCCAACGTGAGGCCAGGCGTGAAATGCAGAGAATCTCCACCGGCCAAAGCTTAAACCCGCACCGGGGACCCCAAAGCCAAACCCATAATAACATGTCGAGGATACCGGATTTCTAAAATCACCTCATTCCCTTCAATACATTCACTGCCGCACCATACTACACACACTATGGGGGTATACGACGCTACGCACTGTACATACTACGGCCGCAAGAACCACCCAACAAGGCTTTTCCTCTCGTTTCCCTTTCCTCCTCAAAACCGTTATATTGCGTCGGCGTTCAAGTTTTCTACTTTAGCTTCTAAGATTCTGTCGCTTTTTTTTGGGCGGCGCAAAATACATCATGGGGGTTTATTTCCTTTTTTGTTTGGATCCGTGTTTATAGTTTTGCATGGGCAACTTTTTTCTGGCCATCATTACTTTTATTGTGCTATAGGGTTATGGAGAGGAGCATTATTAGGGGGGTTTTTTTTTCTTTTCAGGAATTGAGCTATCATACGAAGGGTAGAATAAATGGTTGGGGCGTTGGGGCGGGAGAAGTTTGAGGGAGGGGAAGCTAATGTCTGGTAGACGCTAGATGATATGTACAACACAGTATTATTAGCGGGGCGGGTTATTATTTTTGGAGGTGTTGGTAATTTCTGAGAGTTTGTGACTACCATTTATTCGTTGGTTTAAAGTGGGCGTAGTGCCAGACCCAAGCGCTGCAGTATCTTGATGGAGGGATTTGCGCTGGGCGGGTTGGTATAGTATTTCTGACCCCGCTGCGGAAAAACATGTTCGCTTTTTGGGAACAGTTTTTGGGGTGCAGGTTTTGAAGAAATTAAAAACGTGGGTCAGAAAAGGCTGTCTGAATGATGAATCCTAGTTTTATACGAGTACTCGTAGTACAGTACTCGAGTACACCTAGGCGAGAGATGTAAGCAAAATAGCCATCATGATAGAACATCATGATCCGGGATGAACAATTCGCGGTTCTAGCTAGGTCTTAGTTTAGCCAGTAACTTGGACTAATAAACAGCCAACAAATAACACCTAGCCACAAGATGCCCTTGTATGTGAAGCGCAGTATCATATCATACAGCACTGCGCTCGAGCACTATAATAGACAGATAGACAAATAGACGGCCCGGCATGTACTCGAGTACGATACGATACGATATCATTATCGTGCACCTTGTCCAGCCGATAGTGTACCTATCGTACTTTACCCCTGCCAATCCCCTCTCGGGGGCGTTGAGAATGGTAGGCAAGTTGGGTAGGTAGGTAGGCGGGGGTGGTGGCGGGATGGTGCCGACGACTGACGGAATGGAACGTATTATACGAGCATTATACGAGTAAGTTAGTTATCATAGTTAGTATGACGGTTTTGTTACATATTCATCTACAACATCTATCCATTTATGATTTTCTTTCCATTTTTCTCTCTTTTTCTTCCCCTCTCTCGTTGATGTCATGATTGCTTTTGAAAACCTTTTTTTTTTAATTTTTTAATTATTTGTTTCTGGATTATTGTTGTTTTTCTTGGTTTGGGGGATGATTGGGCTATAGTCTGATATTGATATGATATGATCTGGAGGGATGATTGGCTTGACCTGTTAGACTATGATATCATAGCTGTTGTCCGGGGATCTGGCTGTGGGGTTCCTCTGACTTGGGGCGATGAGGGGAAGTGGGGGAGAGGACTCAGCTTTGATAACCTCGGTAAGTCTGGTATGATAGCGACCGATCATGCCAGTAACCGTGGGTCACGGCTGAGGAGCAGACAGACCATGATGTGGTACCATGTGTGTAGAGAGAGATTGATCACACTCTTTAAACAAGGCCTCCGTGGTTGAAGGCAGAAGGAAATGCATAATCACCAATCATCGGCCCCGCTATCGTAATCCTATGGTGGGAAAATAAGATGGAATAAAAATGCTCCCTTCCAGATTAATCGCCACACCGGCCCCATTCGCTCCTTCATGCCATATCAATTATCATTACCAACTACCGTGCCCTACTCTACTATATCCTGCCCCAGCATTGCACTGTACAAGGAAGAGATGAATGAAAGATGAAAAAGTCCCAGATCGTGAGTGGTCGTCTTACAAATGCATGCACCCGTACACCAATCGCACAAAGGGAAGAACATTAAGAGAATGAATGGGTGAATGAGTGAAGCGCCATACACTACCGAACCCAACCCACCCGGGAGAAATGAAAGGGCGGAAATAGTGATATATAACGGGACAAAGCTATTAGTACACCCCCAACCCCCCTCCGTCTCCTCCATCTACAAGTTCTCAAAAAACCTACTCCCAACGGAACTTCTGTTGCCTGGCTCACCGCCCGAGGCTTCTCTCTCCAAGGGCAACTGCTCTCCCGAGCGGTCCATTGCCACCAGCACCGGCGGTGTGCCAGGGAATGTATCACGTTCTTCAGTTCCGTCCGAGTGATTTTCTGTGTCTGACTCTTTTCTCCTTTGGGGACCGTTGTTACTGTTGCTGTGGCTGTTGTGGGCGGCACCGCCACTGCCGTTGTCGCCGTCAGAAACGTATACTTCTGGCACTATTTCTCCGTGGCATTGGGAGGAGTGGAGACTTGATACCGGAGAGCTTTTGTGGGAAGGGTTTCTGCAGGTTGGGGCTGTGGCGATTGGCGCTGGCGGAGGAGCGCCTAGGAGAGCGACTTCGGTGAGGGTGGGGGTAGTCGTCAGGGTTTGAGCACCGTTGGCTTGGGGGGCAGGTGGTGGTGGAATGTTGGAGTACCGAGACGGTGCTGTATTGTAATTGCTTGAAGGATTGTTATTTGTGGTTACCATTGCGCCGGCGGTGGGGAATTCTTTCGAACCGGTACCACTAGCATTTCGGAAGTGTCTTCTCGCGCGGAATTTGTTGATTAGTGCTCGGAGGCCTTTTTTCTCTTTTGGCGGGGGGGTTATCGGGGTGTGAACGCTGAAATTGCTGTCGCTATTGGATGCTATTGGCGCTGGCAGTTGTACCGGTTGATTGTTGCTTCCGTTGTTGCTAGCCTTTGCTCGCTTGCTGTCGGTTTTGAAGGATTGCCAACGCTCTTTGAGGTGACGTTTTTCACTTTCCTTGCGGCGTTTTTCTTCTTTTCCCATTGCTGTGGAGTTTGCATTCCTACTATCAGCGTATGATTCTCGGCCGGATGGTGTTGAAAGTCATTTGCTGCGGCAAAGGGCAAGGAAGGAGGGGGAGAACAAAAAAAGGAAAAAGCCTTATGGGGTAATGCGGGGATGCTTGTTGTATATTTATATTTTACATACCTCTAGCTCGCTTTAGTTCTTCTTGCGTCTCCTCCTCCTGCGCCCTCCAGACTTCTTGGAGACGTTTCTTTTCTTCCAGTTCCGTTCGCTCCTCTGCAGGTCCTGCCTTTTCCGCAAAGACCCGCGCTCTTTCCGCCTCGGCTTTCCTAGTCATACCATCTAAGACAGGTCTCACATTTCTCGCTGCAATGGCGTCTATCTCCTCGAGTGTCATGTATCCTCCGCCCCCAATGCTGACCTTACCGTGATTCTGATGCTGACGCTTATCGTGATCCGCCTGGGCTAGTTCTCTCGCTCTAGCTTCCCAATCCTCCCGGCGGACTAAACCTTTGGAGTCGGCAATCTGGCGGTCGAGTCCTGACATCCGCGCCTGAACGTTTCGTTGGGCTGTCGCCATAAGCAGCACAGCGTTCTCGCCACGTTTTTTATTCTCTAGCCTGGTCAGATTTTCGCGCGAATGGGATGGATTCCTATCGGTTCTTCGGCCGTGATCACTTGCGCTTGCGCCCTCAGCCATCGCTGACCGAGACCGACTGAGCGATGCTTGGGCTCCTTTTGCCCCTAAGAGGGAAGCAGAGGGCTCGGGGTCATACCCGATTAGAGTCAGACGCTCTGCAGCGACCTTGCATGCAGCCACGTCGAGATCCGGACCGTAGATTGGATGGTGCGAAGATGGCGGGGTTGTTGCAGGACGCTGCCGCTCTCGAGACGGCACACCATTTCTCTGTCTCGGTGAGTCAGGTGAGTGGATGTCGCAATCACGTTTAGACATGGATATTGTGGCTGCCCGCAGAATATCCGATTTGCGCCTTTCCTGCTGTGAAACTCCGCCCGCATTATTGAGATCGCTTTCGACGAGCCGCTCGAAAGCCGGTTCTACGGCGTTAGACGCACGTCGAACCATTGGCATGTGAGCAAGAGATGCGGCCGTCACAGCGTTTCCTGAGATCTTTGTCCCCGACTCGTGTCGGGGAGTTGAAGCGGGCCCGGTGCTGGAAGCTTGCATGGCTCCTTGAGTGCCAGTCAGCGGCGAACTCTCTGGAGGGTGCCGTTCTGTATGGGGGTTTATACGGTCGTTACTATCCTCCAAAGCGTGGATAGCTGCTTTTCCTGCCCCAGTTCCTTGGGTCGGTTTCCATGGTTCAACTCTTCCAGGGTTAGCATGGGCTAGACATGCTGCTGCCCCAGCTGCGGATATGGGATCAGGTTTCCATATTTCCACAACCTTAGCAGAAGTGTGCGCAAGAGAAGCTGCCGCGGCGCCTGCCGCCTCAGGGTTTGCTAAACCAACATTGCCGAAACTTGGCAATTCGTGAGCTTCCGCTCGGCGCAAGTAGTGGGAAGCTAGTAGTGGAACATGTCAGCAAGCTGGTGTAATCGCGTTTCTGAAATGCGATTCAGAAAGACGGACAAACCAGCGCCCTGTTTAGGTTTTGGAAGCGGAGAGTCTAAATCACTCCCTTGGCCGGATTCTTCCGCCTGACACTCCAGGAGGCTTCCGTCGCTAGCTCGGTTCGCAGCAGGGCCAGTAGGCCTTGATAAAACCTCGTCATCAGTCTGCGTAGAAGCGGTCTGCATCGGCACACCCCGGCTCCCAGCAGACATTGTGTCCGCTGCTGCAGGGGCTATAGGGACATGAGCAGGGGTGGCCGCCGAAGCAGATATCGAGGGTGTGGACGGGGTATCCGTCGTACCTGCTTCCGACCAGTCTGTTGGGTTCTTGGTCGGGAACAAAGCTGGGGGTGGGGCCAACATAGTGGACATTTCTCGTGGCCGACGGTTCCCCCAAGTTTCCCGTTCCGCGGCTCGCTGGTTTTTGGTAGTTTTTGTAGAGATCGGGTGGGGAGGGGACTGCAGACAATTTAGGAAAGATGACTGTAGATAGGAGGGAATGGAAGGGGGATGACTGGGTGGAAAGTTGCAGGCGTGGGGGGGAAATTAAAGTAAAATCTGACAACTTGGTTGTGGTCCCCAGGCCGGTTATGTGGGATTGCCAGTGCTCAATTACACAGGCTCTAGCCCTACCGGTCTGTGAAGTTCAACCCTCTCCACGGGGCAATGGATAGTAGGCCCGAGTTGAACGAATGATCGTCGACAGGGAGGTGGGCTAGCCTCGCGGTTTGGCGGAGTTCAATCACATGTGATAAAGCACTTGGACCTGATGGATTGGAGGGAAGGGAGCGAGAAGGAAGGAGGAGGAGGAGGAGGAGGAATACAAGTATAGTAAGGGGGCAGGGAGAATAGGGGAAATTAACTTATGGTATCGATTGCTCTACGAGTACAGTATAACTGAGAAATGGGTGTTCTGGGAGATCCTGCGTCATGGTTTCTTTCTCGTTTTTTGCTTTCGGCTTTTCCATTTGGGGAATTCTGGGGACAGGGGCTAATGATGTCATTGGCCTAATATCATACCTTGTTACGGTTCCGTCATCACTCGTAGCTCTATGCTGCCGCGGCTCAAAGACTTGGATTCCTTTCAGCTTTAGGAGTGAGATCCTATGTTCGGTATTCGTACTGTTTCATAATTGGGTAACACCAATAACGGCAGATTTAAGAGTCGGCCCCGTTCTACGAGCGCGGTACGATACTGTAAGTTACACTATATACACAATGGGTTGTTGGGCTCTCGTATTGTGGAACAGCGGATTCACCGCAGCGATATGAGGGGGTCTCGCATTGTGGTGTTAGAGCGGGGGATCATTGTCGTAGGACTGATACCGTTCACCGTTATGATACAAGTAGCAGGGCTCGCGGCGGTTCCCTTCGCCTATGAGTAGAGTTTCGGCTCGATGCATGACACTCCCAAGCCCCCCCGATATCACAGCCTTTGGCAACTCTGCCTAACAGGTAACGCTGTGCGCAGGGTGTGATGGCATACGCCAGACGCTGTCTCCGGGGAACCTTCTCCAGTATAATGGCCCCGGATATTGGGGGGTTTTTTTTTTGTTGTTAACGTGTGTACGAGTGCGAGTATCATACTACTCGGGGGCCGAAGCGGTGCTCAAGTGTGGTATGAGACCTCCTTCTGTCCTGCTAATAAGGCTACCGGGGCGAGTGCTCTAAATGAATACCGGTAGAGCGATTTCTACTCTTCCGAGGAGGACTTCCGACCGCAACCCGAATCAATACACATGCCAACCACCTGTTGGACCAACTTGCCCGAGTCTTGGGTTCGATGGAAGGCCTATTTTCACCTCGTATAAGGGTGCTACCGGTCTCAACCAGGAAGCTCAATTCGCAGCTGATGCTGGCTTCGATTCAAACATGACAATAGCCGTCCGATAGTCTACCGGTACCCATGAGATAGGGTGACTTGCTCCATATTGGCGGAGAATCGAAGAAGCAAGGCCCCGCAAGGGCACCCCCCAGCACTGTATGATAGGTTGTGGCGTTCAGGAAGTCGAGGGGAGGTGAGCCAGGCACAGTGCCTGCCGTATATGCCCACTCACCTGTGACTGGGTGGAGTGCTGATATGGAAACAAATTATGGCCGGCTTCCCCTGCCGTGTTTCTCCCATCGTGGTTTCGAGAGAAGCTTTCATGTTGTGCCTGTGAGACAACATGCGTAGCCGGACAGGGTGTACCGGCAGTCTTCGGGCGCACGCACGGGGCTGCTAACCATTCGATATCGCAATCAATGATCTTTGGTTGGCGTCGGATTTGGTCCTCTCCCTCCCACCCTTTGCTATCATGGCAAGGGGATGGCGGGTCCAGTGGTGAGCACGGTAACGCTTGTGTACGAGGAAAGAAAAAAAAATTGCCGGACGGTAGTACTTGTGCCGTGCTGCCCCGTATATCGAGCTATCCCGCGTGGGTCAGGTGAAGAGGTATTCACACTTATTATCCTGTGTAGCTCCAAGGCCCTTTGAAGAAGAGAAGTGGCAGCAACACTGCATAGCGCTTCCTTCCGGCACATGCGATGCTCGTTCCGTTCCTTCGTTCCTCCACTGTAGGAGTACTGTACTCGTAGCCTTCCACCTACAAGTCCCACGCTCCAAGGAACCTGCCCGATCATTCACCACAGGCCGTCTCAAACCGGGGATAGGGTTAGGGTGAACTTAATAGAACGTCTTATCTGATTGGACCATTTAGTGTTGCGCCGGCCCCATGCCTGCAAGAATTAATTCTTGGCGGGCGGGAAGGATACTCTGCCCATCTGTATGACGATTTCCGACGTTAGACTACTCGAGTACAGTTTTTTTTTTGTTTTCACGTTTTGTTGCACGAGTGTTGGAAGCGAGTGAACCTCAAACACCCTGCAGCCCATGCTTTCTCCCTTTTTTCAACACAATATCCTCTTTTCCAGGAGAGAGAGAGAGGGAGAACATCTCTCATCGCCAACATCATCCACCGCTGCCGGTAGACTTTTACGTTTGGCTGATGGTGCCCCACGAGTATTGTGCGGAGTAGAGGTAGCAACACCACTTTTTGGAGCGTCCCCCGCGATCCATGGTCACAGGAGCCTACCACCATATCCCATTGGCTCCCACCTTCGCTAGGCCTGTGACATGTGTTTGTTTGTTGGTTCCCCAAGTTACCTCACTCTAAGCTCAGTGCCGCATTCAACGGTACGGTAGGCCACGGATTACACCAGCGCGGTCCAACAGGTTCTCCACGGCGAGATAGCAGACACAACCTTTCTCTCCTCGCCCAGGAGCTTCTTCACCACCACCACTTCGCTTGAGGCTTTCTCTACTGTGCTCTCCTCTGCCCCGCTAGTGATCTTTGAGAAGTACATGCAAGAACTCACCGATGCTGGTCGCCCGATTTCACTTTCTCAGCCTCAACACCCTCCGGATGTGTATGAATTTACTCGTATATATGCCAGGCATGATAGGGTATCCAACGGCAAGGGTGGCATGGAAGGAAAACGTTCCCCCTCACTCTCTCTTCAACTCATTAACTTGTCATACCGGTGATCTTGTACCGTTCCTGCCCGCGCTGGAGTTTGTTAGCCACTTCCGATCTGTATGCCAGGGAAACAGACCCCGGCCAATCGCACTGTGTCTGACAGTCTGAGCGAGTGATTGAGCGATTGCTCTTAATTGGAAGGGGGGGGG